CTGCCAGCCTCCGGGTCCCCCAGCCTCCCGAGTGGCGCCAAACGGAAGGGCGGGGAGGACGGCGGGTTCGGCTGCGAAGTATACCTTGGGGATAGTTGCCAGAGAAACAAACATGGCTTTGCATTAACTAGTGCGTTGGGCGTGATGAAGGATCGGAGTCCATACATGTCCTCAAGATCAGTTCTTTCCTTGCTTCTCCTGTACTTATTCCCAGCAATTGTCTTCCCTTCACTCTGGCTCCAAGCCAGAGTTTTATTCAGATAAAGTTCTCCTGTGTGAGCAAATTAAAGTTTCCTGTCTGGGTGCCTTACTTGCCAGGTGGGCCTGCAGGTTAATTTCACGAAAAGAGAGGAGCAGACACTTCCTTACCGTTTTCCTGGAGGTTTTTTTTGTGTAGGCCAGGTTCTGAAAGAAATGCTCAGTTTTCTGGTAAATGCCCAGAGCATGTGCTCTCAACTCAGGATGTGGTCAGCAATTAGAAACGAGAACAAATACCTTTCAAAAATTGGCCAGTGCTTTTCTTTTCCCAAGGATTTGGAATTGTACTGATACCATAGCCCATTTTCAGGTGGACCTAAATGAAAAAATTCTAATTGGTTAAAAAAAATGCAAGTTAATTCAACATTTATTTGTTTACCAGCAGTAACAACTACTACAGTGCTTGTTAATTTCATCATTCAGAACATTTTGGAAGGAAGTCTGTTACCTCTTGATGATAGATTTCACATTGAGCAGTGTTCCAATAAAGGGAAGGGTCAGTTGCCCCTGCCTTCTTTGTGAGTGGGAAAAGTCGTAATCACCAAAGACGGACTAAATGTTTCCTAAAGTAACTTTGAACTCTTCCTGGCAGTGAAGTTAGGTACTCTTGTTACCACCACCTTGACTGGGAAAGATGCTTTATTTAGTAAAATCAGATGCCAAAGGCAGATACTTTTTAAAACTGTAAAGAAATGCAGTAAAGGACAGGAAAGTCCTTGAAAGCCTTTATCTCTGTGCTCTAAAGATGTGTATTCATCTGTCTGCTGGTAGTTTTCCTTGGATATCTCAGAGATAGCACAAACATTTTAAAAAAATGAATCCTTAATTCCCTCTCCTCTCTTTTAAAACTCTCCCATCTCTGGTCTTCTCAGTCAATGGCACCTAGGACTACCCAGATGCTCGCTCATTTTAGAAACCTGGCAGCCATTCCGATGTGTTCTTTCAGTCACCCGCCCCCCCCCACTTCCAGTCCAGCCCAAATGTAGCTGTCGAGTCCATCCATCTCTGTCTCTCCCCTCCCCCAATCCCTTGCGTTTTCTCTGGTGACACCGCTAGAGTACAAGCCACCAGCTTACTTTGTCTAGACTAGTTTCTAACTAGTTTCTTGGCCATCCCTCCTGCTCCTTTCTTGATCCATGTAGCTTCTTCAAGTGTGAACTGGATCCTAAGACCTTCTAGCTCAACCCCCAGTGGCTTCTCATTGCACTTAGGCTGGAAGCCAAAATCCTTAACAAGCTTCCAGGCTGAGTGGTGGTCTGACCGCATCCGCCTCTCCAGGTGCATCTTTCTGCTGCATGATGTGCCTCAGGTTCCCTGGCCTTCATAACCAGGACTCGCCTACTGTACCTACAAACAAGCTTGCTATCCCTTCTGTCTGGAAAACTCTCCTTCTCCTTCTTTTCTTAGCTAATTTGAATTTGTCCTTTAAATCAGCTTAAATGTCCTCAGTGAGCCCCCAATGTAAATCACTCTGCCCCGTTACTCTCTTTCAGGAGGTGTGTGCTTTTCTTTCATAGCCCTAATCACGGTTAAAAATTCCTCCCCACCCTGAGCCCCATAAGCAGTTTGAGGTCAAGGATCTGTGCTGTCTTACATTGCTAGTGTCCAGCAAAATCCCTGGCATGTAATAGGTCCTCAGTAAATATTTGGGGAATGAATGATTGAGAATATTTTAACTTAGTCTTTACAACATGCTGTGAGAGAGGTATTATTTTCTCAAATTAGACATGAAGAAAATGGGGCACCTGGGTGACTCAGTCGGTTAAGCATCTGCGTTTGGCTTAGGTCATGATCCCAGGGTCCTGGGATCAAGCCCCACATCAGACTCCCTGCTCATTGGGGAGCCTGCTTCTCCCTCTGCCTCTCCCTCTGCCTGCCGCTCCCCCTGCTTGTGCTTGCTCTCTTTCTCTCTCTCTCTGTCAAAAAAATAAATAAAATATCAAAAAAAAAAGAGAGAAGAAAATGTAACCTGTCCAAGATCACAGTCGGTGGAAGAGCAAGAACGCAAAGCCAGGTTTTCTTTTCTGATTGTAAGTGTAATATGTATTCTTGTTAATATAGCTATAGTTATAAATATGTATATCTTTATTCTGACATGTATGCTGTCTACATTACCCGTTCCATTGTGGTTTCCTGGCATTATATCCTCTTTTGAGACACAGCCATGGTTCTCTTTGACTCTGTCTCCTCATGGACTCAACCTTGCAAAGCCTTGGGTGTGGGTCCCACTGCCAACTCCTTTAGCAGCCTGTAGGCCTGGCTGCCAGCTCAGAAGCAGTTGGCATTTTTAGATTTCCTCCTGGACTGTGGGGAACACGTGGGGACTTCGGGGCTCCTCCCATGCCTGAACCTGCCACCCTCATTGCACTCCCTACCTTCTTGGGGCATGGCTGCACCCACAAAGCCACTGCCGTCAGAAATTCAAAATGGAAGTATCACTCAAGTTCCCTTTATTTCTCATGGCCTAGCGTCAAGGGAAATCCATCGTTTTGCCCCTGCACTAGAAGTCTGCCTGAGGAAGTAAAAGTGGGAACCCTTTATTATTTTGGTGTTTAAACTTTATTCTTCTCCTTCAAATTGCTTCAGTTCTCCATAGCTAGAAGCATCCTCTAGTTGGTTCCTGCACACACATACAAAAACAAGAAACACATAAACAAAAAAAACGTGTTCTCCCTGTTGAGCCTTTGATTCTCCCTTCCCTTTCATCTGGGTGATACCTTTTGAACTGAGATTATGGTGCCTCTGTGCTTGACTGCCTCCACTGTGTTCCTGTCCTTTCTGTTTGCCTGCAGGTCTGCTCTGTGGGGAAGGCGGATGGAGGGACCTTTAGCAGAGGAGCAGGATGGGGAGTGAGGGGTCGGGGAGCGCACATCGGTTATTACCTTGAAGTGGTGTTCTTCCCCATAGTGTTCAAGGGCTAAGACCAGAGTTGGCAAGGATTATCTAGAAGGTTCTCAGATTGGCTCTCCAATAGAATCTCTGGGAAGATTTTTAAAAATTCTGGTGCCCCGACCTCATCACCATAGATTTCAGTTTAATTGTTCTAGATGGGAACCCAGGCCTCAGTCATTTTAAAAGCTGCCTTGCTGATGTTAGAGTTGAGAAGTGCTGACGTAGAGGTAGAATCCCATGTACCACACTGTAGCACTACTACTTTTCTCATTTGATGTCTATGTTCAGGAGCCCAAGGAGTTTGAGGGAATTAGGACCAATTACCTGGACTCATCTAACAGATGAGTCCTGGCAAACGCCTTTTAGAGAGATGTCTTTGTCTAAGAGAAATGTGCTCAGTTCTCAGCCATGGTTGCCAGCTATCTTATAATTCACATTCCTTTTGTGTCCTAAGACCTTTAAAATAAAGTGCCAAATATAGTCTGCAGCATGACTCCCAACACACTTTGAGCATAATCTTGGAGTCGCTCCCTTCCTTGCCTTGTGAATAATCACTCTCCATCCAGACTGATTGCTCCGTCCACATTGATGGCCCAGCCAGCCCTCAGCTTTCTCCCTTCGTGCTTTAACTCCTGCCCTGGTTTGCTCCACCTGCAGTGTCTTTAATGCCCTCCCTTCATTTCCAAATCCAACCCATCCTTCCAAACCATGCTCCAATGCTGGTTTTGCATGAAGGCACCCCAGAGTCGCTGTGCAGCAGATGTCACTCTCTCCCTTCTCCCCCAGCACTTGCTGTTATTATTATTCTTAAAATGCTTCATACTTTCTCTGGTGCATTCTGTCATTCGTGTATGAATGTCTTCTGCCTTTCCAGATTTTGAAGTCCTTGACTGTGGGATTTGTGTCTTGTGTGTTATTATATCCCACCCAGTACTCAGCACGCCGCCTTGTATGTGGCAGGCATTCAACATGTATTTGTTGGATGACTGTAAGAGAGAATCCAGGAGACTGTTATGTTTGTCACAAACGATTGGTGTGAAAATCACCATAAACCCTTTAAGTCATTCCTGGCTAAACACGTATTAGATGAACTTTTGGCATGACATTTGACAAAGACACTGCTGTTACTAAGGGTTACTGTTAATGGATACTTGCCTCCCCCCACCCCTTGCTACTCAGCGTCTGTGTCTCCTTCCTAGGTTAGGAATTCTCTACTTTATAAGCTTGGTGGGGAGCCAGACCTGTCCTCTACTGCAGAAGCTGTGAAGTCCAGATTCTCGCTTTTCCAACCTCCCTGACTGGTAGCGTGAACACCTTACCTCAGCTGAAAGAAGTCCTGCCAAGTGGCAGGGGCCGTAGAGACCTCATATTGACAGTGGCCGAGGCAGTGTCCAGCCCCTGATCTCTAGGCAGTAGGGCAGCTTCCTCCAAGGCACAGTGTGGGTGGGGAGAGGTCACCTGGTCAATTTCTCCCATGTGGTTTTGGCTGTCCGTCTTGGCCTGTTTCATGTGGCTGGCTTCCCAAATGTCCCGACAACTCTGACCATTTTTGTGAACTATTTAGTGAACTTGTTCTATTGCTTTCAACCAAGAACCCTGACAAATAGAGTGCATTTAAACTTGGAGAGCCAAATGATATTTTTTAATAGGTGTGAAGATTGTTGCTAACCAGTAACTTCTTTCTTCTGTGAATCAATAATAACAGGGTAAAGACCTAGAACTTTTGAAAGTTTGTGTCTATAACGGTTAATGCTGGGTAGATACATTGTGAAATTATGCTGTCTTGATAATATTTTAGTGACTCAATTTTTTTGGGGGGGGGCTTTTATACATTTTGCCACTAGGTAGTTTGAGCAAGAAGATGATATCTCTGTCCATCAGATGGGCACCGGCAACCATGCTGTTTCTACCATCCTCACTGCTGATTCTCTTAACTGTGTCAACTCCTTCGTCGTGTCAGAGCAGTGACATGATGTCTCCAAAAGCTAGTAATGGGACTCCGTTCCCCTGGGAGAAAATGCGACTTCCTGAGCACATCATCCCAGTTTATTATGATCTCCTGATCCATGCAAATCTCACGACTCTGACTTTTGAGGGAACCACGGAGATAGAAATCACAGCCAGCCAGCCTACTAGTACCATCATCCTGCATAGTCACCTCCTGCAAATATCTAAGGCCACCCTCAAGACGAGAGTCGGAGAGAGGCTCTCTGCAGAACCCTTGAGAGTCCTGGAGTACCCGCCTCATGAACAAATCGCACTTCTGGCTCCCGAGCCTCTGGCTGTTGGGATCCCATACACGGTTGTCATTGACTATGCTGGCCATCTTTCTGAGCATTTAAATGGATTCTATAAAAGCACTTACAGGACCAAGGAAGGGGAAGTGAGGTACTTTTTTCTATTTTTTTTTTTTGAAAACTTCAAGTGCTGCCCATACTAAATTTGTTATTTCATATGGATTATTTCTTCAATCTCCCTTGATTGTTGAATGTCTTGATTTTGTGTTTCATTTATATAGCTAAAAATAGCCAATAGATTCTTTTCCTTGTTTTTCGGATCTCATTTTTTTCATTCTGTCTTAACCAGTTTTCTTCCCTTCAGTTCTGTCAAAGTACCTGTTTGTTCATTTAATTAGATTTCTGGTATATAATAAACATTTTTAATTCTCTTAGCCTAGTATTAGTTTCCTAGAGCTGCTATAACGAAGTACCAGAAACTGGGTGGCTTGAAACAACAGAAATTTATGCTCTCACAGTTAAGGAGGCTAGCAGTCCAAAATCAAGGTATTAGCAGGACTAGGCTCTCTCTAAATCTCTGCGAAGAATCCTTCCTTCCCTCTTTCTAGTTTGTGGTGGCCATCGATTGTTGGCATTCCTTGGCTTGCACCAACATCAGTTTAGACTCTGCCTCTGTTATCACATGGCCATTCCCCAAATTTCCCTCCTTATAAGGACACTAGTCTTATTAGACTAGGGCCCAACTTCATGGCCTCATCTTAATTTGATTACATCTGCGAAGACCCTATTTCCAAATAAAGTCATAATCCCAGGTACGAGGGATTAAGACTTCCACATATTTTTGGAGGATGCAATTTATCCCATACATACAGCCTATTAGAAGAAACATTTTTTTTTTCTTAGATCCTCATCTGCCTTGCTTTTGTTCTGTTTTTTTAAGGAGGCAAACTATTTTGGGTGAATTGATACTGAATTTTATTTATTATTTTTTAAATTTATTTGAGAGAGAGAGTGAGCGAGAGAGAAATGGAGCAGGGGGAGGGGCAGACAGAGTGGGAGAAGCAGACTCCCCACTAAGCAGGGAGCCCGGCATAGGGCTCGATCCCAGGACTCCGGGGTCATGACCTGAGCCGAAGGCAGACGTTTAACCCCTGAGCCACCCAGGCACCCCAATGCTGAATTTTAAAATCAAATTTTATTTGCTAGTAGACTATACTCACTTATTTTTCTGAGTCCATATTGTTCTTTTGAGGTTAAAAAAAAAAAAAAAGTCAGATGCTACCAAAAAGAATTTTTTAAAAAAGTAAATTTTGTCCCCTATCACAGCCCCTAAATATAACTAGTACTTTTATTTTGGGGAGCATCCTTCCAGACTTTTCTCTGGTTATGGATAAACATTATATAAATGGAACTATGTTATGTTTTCCATCCTATACGGGATCTTATTTTAATATGTTGAGGAAATGTTTCATATAGATGGCTATCACTATACATTATTTTAATGAGTTTATTATAATGTATGTGCAATGGTTTAACTAATACCCCATCAGTGGAGATTCGGTTGTTTCCACCTTTTCAGCAATAGCAGTATCTTTGTAAATCATTTCCTTAGAATAAATGCCTACATAAAATTGCTAAGTTAAAGGGTCTATAGTCTTCTGATATCCCTTGCCATATTCCTCATCTGTAGCTAATACTGTATCTGGGAAGCCTTTTTAAAGCCAAAAAGCCGACAGATATGTCCCTTTAACTTACATTTCATTGATTATTAAGGAAGTTGAGCAGGTTTTGATACGTTTATTGACTCTTTGTAGGTTCTTCTTCTGTGAATTGCCTGTTTATGACCTGTACCTGCTATTCCCCTTGGTTGCTGGTTGTAGTCTTATCCATTTATAAGCGTTCATTATCTGTCAAGGCTGTTAACCCTTTGTCACATAGCTTTCAAACCATTTTCCCAGTTTTTTACTTGTCTTTTTACTTAGTTTATGATAACTTCTGTTCTATGAAAGATTTTTTTTTGTAGTGAAATCCATAATCTTATGGTATCTCTAGGAATTAAAAACCAAACACACATCTCTTTTAGAGTCCCTGGTGCTTTATGTTGTATATTTATTTCACTCACCATAATTCTAGAGTACTTGCATCAACACACTTTGAACCCACTGCAGCCAGAACGGCCTTTCCCTGCTTTGATGAACCTGCCTTCAAAGCGAATTTTTCAGTCAAGATCAGACGGGAGCCAAGACACCTCGCCATCTCCAATATGCCACTGGTGAGTCTGAACTCCTGTGGATCTACTCACAGGAAAAATCCATTGATATGCTGTCACTTGCGTTACCCCAGTGACAACTAATATTCAGGTCACCAGTGTTATTTGTTTTATTGCCTGACAGCTAACTTTTCTTTCTTCATTTCCAACCCGTACTTTTGTTTCAAGCAATAATTTATCTGTAGTCAGAGAAAAAATTAGCCCTAAAAACAAGTAGGATTTTAGTCCAAGTGGCATTCCAGGTCCCTGGTACTGACAGGAGGGACACTGTCACTCAGGTCCGGTTTAAATGAGAGTGCCCTTCACAAAGCACTTTCCCCTTCCTTTTCTCATATGATCTTTTCAAGGGCACACTTTGTCACATAAGGGTATATTTCTAGTATATAGTTATTTTCTATAATTTCTATGTAGGATATACTAATAACTATATGATTTGTGACTATATCCATGAAATTGGGCTGACAGAAAAAAAGTAATCTTTTTGGAATATTATGGTACAAAAGGTAAGTAGTGATAGACAGCTCAGTTCCCTTTGAAGAGACCATCATCCTCCAATTCCAAAGCAAATGTGGACAGCCGTTCCATCTGATTTTCCCAAAAGTGGTGGGAAAATGGCTGTGCCAAATGAATAAAGCTACTCAGTACGTGCCACTGACCAATGATTCTGGCAGCTTAGAAGTACTCGTCCACTGAGCTATCAGCCTGCAACAGATGCGGATCAACTCCTGAAGCACACATAGCCTTTGTCCACAGAGCTCACTGTGATGAGACTCACATGGAACAGATTTTGCCTAGAGTCTTAAAGGGTGTCCCCGCTCAACCCTGTGCCGGCCAGGGAGGCAAAATCTTAGCGTGGCACTCTGAGAGCCACAACCAGCCTCTAGGATAGTACCTTGCAACACTTAACACTCTGTAGACCACCAGCCCCCCACCCCCAGCACTGAATACCTTAAAAATCCTTTCCACAAACAAGATTCTGACAGGCCCCCCTCAGAGGGCCATGCTCTGTGAAAAGTGCTCTTCAGCACATCTCTACCAACTAAGAACTTCTGTCTATTCCACTCACATTTGTAGATGGAAAAAAAACAAACAAAAAACAGGAATATGAAATTTGAGATAGAGAACAAGCTTGTTCCAATTATCGTTCCATCCCCCAGTGTTATGCCATTGCTCCCGGGTTTGTGAGTGAGTTCTCTCATTAGAGTATCAATCACAGCTTTGGGAGAATAAAGAACAGGGGCAGATGAAATTAAGGGGGAGACTGATGACCAAAAAAGACTGGTAGAGAAACTCGTAGGTTTGCAGGGTGAAGGCTGGGAGCTCCCAAGGCTTCACAAAGATGCTGGAGCCTGAATCCATGGCTATCCAGGACCCATTTGTTAAGGAAAGGAAAATCTCTAATGTGATCTGGCCTCTTGGACAGGAAAGCCCGCCCACTGGCAGAAATCTTACAGGACTAGCCTGAAGTCAGGCTGTGGCCCCGGAGTTCAGGGGAAGGACAATGGAGTCTCCAAGGATTTTGGTGGCTGGAAAAGCAAATACTCCATCAGAACATTGAAGTGTATGGGCAGTGGGCAGGATTTCATCCCATTTAAAGTTGAATTAATTAGCTTACTTTCCTAGTAAATAGCACAACTTCAGGAATGAAAGTTTTGGTTAGGGGCGGGTAGAAGGCATTCAAAAAGAAAAGGTAAGTTGGAGTTTTTCAAGAGTAAACCTAGGTCGGCTATCAGAGTCAGGGGAGCACAGAGTGACCGGCAGACACCAGAACTGGTGGGTGGGTGTTACAAAGAAGGATGAGGGTTCAGAAAGGGAGGTGGAAATAAGATTCCGGGGAAAATGCCTGTGCTCACCAGGCTGGTTCTTCTCTCGTTCTCCTTCTCCGGGGCCTTGCCCCACTGCTTGGTGTTGCCTGACATATTAGACTTTCCTTTTGGGGAGCAGACCTCTTCGACTGTCCCTCCACCACCCCCACCCCACTGTGGGGTGGCTCCCTGACTGCACCTAAAGCAGATTCCAATGAAGCAAATCAAGAGTTTGGAGGAAGCTTGGCCATGTCAGGCCCGTGTTACTTTCAATTTTGTAGGAAAACAGAAGCTCTTTTTAAGTTGTGCACGGTTACGTGTTTGCTCATTGTAGAAAACAAATTGGACGGTGTTTTGCAGATAATTCTCATACCTATATTTAAGGTCAGGTGGTCTACATCTTGGCAAAACCAACAATCTCAGTTTTGCTTTGTCCCATTCATATTATCAATCCTCACGTACCAAATATGGGCCAGTTTGCAACCATCTGGGTTATTGAAAAGAAATTTAGTGATGATAGTTGCACAACTCTGAGAATATAATAAAAAAACCCACTGAACTCTATACTTGAAAATGGTGAATTATATGGTATGTGAATTGTATCTCCTTAAAAAAAATTGAGTAGAATGGCCTTAATATCGAAATTACAATCAGATACTGGAAAGAGAAATTTTAAGATAATTATACAAATGTGCTGTATACTTTGAATATTATGTCTGGTGGTTAGGAAATTTCTCTTTATCAAGTATTTTCAATGTATTGGGTGATTGATGATTTGTTTGATGATTTCAGTTATTCTGATTTTAGGTTAAATCTGTGACTGTTGCTGAAGGACTCATAGAAGACCATTTTGATGTCACTGTGAAGATGAGCACCTACCTGGTGGCCTTCATTATTTCAGATTTTAAGTCTATTAGCAAGATGACCAAGAGCGGAGTCAAGGTGAACCCTGGGATTGTCAGATTGTCACATAGGGTGACCAACTTGTTCTCATCTGCCTGAGACTGTCCTGGCTTTAATATTGGAAGTCCCACATTTTGGGCACACCCCTGAGTCTTGGGCAAAAACCGGGGTGGTTGGCATCCTCTTGTCACAGATGCTGGTATTTACAATGAGGTTCTAATAACAAAAACACGGAGAGGCTTGGCCTGGCCTCGCTCATGGTTCTGGCTCCACCATTAGCTGGTTTTCTGTCCTTGGCCCTGCTCCCTCTGGAACTTAGTTTATACTTCTGCAAAATGTGTACATTGGACTAGATCCTGCAGGGGTTTCTGAAATTGTTTCTGGCTATCACTTTCTATAGTTTGGAAGTAAGTGTGATTGACTATCTGAACAGAGGATCTCTAGTCTTGAGAAGGAAGTTAAAATAGAGCAGTTGGCTTAGAGTATTACATCGCTCTGGGGAGAGCAGTTGTGACAGTAAATACTGGAATACTAGAGAGAATATCTTGTTTCAAGGACTGCTTGCCCCTTTTCTGGGTACCAAACTATAGTGAACAACCTATTCAACTGTAGGCTGGGCTCTAAATGCAAACAATTTTTTTGGGGGGGGGAGGGCTTTAATTTGAAGATACCTCATTTATTTGTGCTGGCTTTCACTGAGGCCTGAATAGGTAGGACTTCTCTGATGAATAATCTTTTGTTCCCCTAGTAGTTCTTATTCTTGTAGAGATCTTTCTACTTACCTGGAGATTTGAAGGTGATGCTTGAGACTTGAATGTAGGGACCAATCTAAATTTCGCAGTGAAACTATCAGCAAAAACCCTCACCCATTGAATTGCCCACTTTGGGGAATCCTTTATGAAAGATTTCTTTAATAATGTCTCTTCCATACTGTGATATTGTGATTTATAATAAGAAATATATATACATGGTCTTTGTCCCAGTCCCTAGCATGGAGCTCCTAAATAAAATACTAGGAATTTTCTGATGACAGCTAGAAAGGAGTCTCTAGTTAGGTTAATGAAATGACTTGTGGAAAGCATGTAGGTAACCTAAGGATGGGGGTTGGTTGCCAGAGAACCAGCCATGCGATTGGAGGGTTGGAACTTTCAGTCCTGCCCCCTTGACCTCCAGGGAGTGGAGAAGGGCTGGAGAGTGAGTTCAATTACCAAGGGCTAATGACCTTATTGGTCATGCCTGTATGATGAAGCCTCCATAAAAACCCAAAGGACATTTCAGAGAGCTTCTGGGTTGGTGCAAGTGTGGAGGTTCAGCCAGAGTGGCCTGCCTGGAGACGGTATGGCAGCTCTTTGCCTTTTCCTGTACCTTGTCCTGTACATCTCTTCCATCTGGCTGTTCCTGAGTCATGTCCTTTTATAGCGAGTTAAAGATTTCCCCAGTTTTGTGAGCTGCTCTTGCAAATTAATCACACCTAGAGAGGTGGTCATTGCAACTTCCAAACTATAGCCTATTGATCAGAAGCACAGATGGTAACCTGGAATTGTGAATATCATCTGAAGGGGAAGGGGGGGCAGTTTAGTAAGACTTAACCTTTATGTTGTGGAATCTGGTGCTATCTCTGGGTAGTGTCAGAATCAAGTTGAATTGTGGGACACCCAGGCGGTATTGCTGAACTGCTTAGAGGTGTGGGGTTAACCTGCACCCCCCCCCACATACACATTGGACTTGGGGCCCAGAACTCCTTTTACATATTAGTATTTTTAGGCCTTTTATTTCTTTAAAAACATTAAACATACATTTTATATTCTAGTAACTGTCCTGTCTGAAGTATTTGTCTGATTTTGTGGTTTATTTCTGCTGGTTCTTGCTTATGGTGTGTAGTGCCTTTGTGTATATTGAATTTACACTGCCTGAGTTGAAGGTGGATTCTTCCAGAGAGAATTTGTTTGCTCCTGTCAGGTGACTGGGAGCATTTACGAACTCATGAACCACTTTAATTCAACCTATTAGCTTCAGATTTTTGAGCGCCCTGGCTAGTGTGAGTGTAGCTCCTAACCAGCATGAAGAGTAGCTTTTACTGATTTTCTTAGGACTTCCCTCGACCTCCCCCATATAGTACCAAGACTTGACTAAGGCATTTTTTTCCCTTGCAGTCTCCTTGAGGAAGAGGGTGGCTATTTTTAGTTTACCCTTATAGAAGGGTGTGGTCCTTTAGGGTCCAGCTTTACGCCTGGTGCATCTTCTGTTGGGCTTCCACCTTGGGCAGGCTCTGGACCTGGTCTCCTATCCCCTGAGACCTTCAATGCTGTGAAAACTCAAATCTATCTGTATTAGGTTAGTGTCCTCTGCTGTCTACGGAGGGTCCCACACTCACTTTTGGCATCTAAATTTTCTTTACTTTTCCACTATGTCATAAGAACGTTTAAAAAGACATTTTTGTATATGTTATCCAGCATGTTGTAGTTTTCAGAAGGGAAGTTGATCAGAAACAGCACTAAGACAAGAAATGGAACTGCTACTTTTCTTAATTGGCAACCATACAGCAGAAAATGAAGCCTTTGATGTCCATCTTCCATACAGTTGTGGAGAGAAGCCACAATAGCATTTGAAGAGCTAACTATCTTTCTTTTCAGGTTTCCGTATACTCTGTGCCAGACAAGATCCATCAGGCAGATTATGCACTGGATACCGCAGTGACTCTTCTAGAATTTTACGAGGATTATTTCAGCATTCCATATCCCTTACCCAAACAAGGTGAAGATTTTGCACAGTTTTTGCAAATTGTGGCATTTAATGATGTCAGCTGTGAATTATATCCTCCTACTTGGCATTCCCATGGTTATCTCAGCCGTTCAAGTCCTTAAACTCTGGCAGGTGTCGACCATCAGGTTGATCTTCGCACCCCTAATCTATACAGTAAATTCTAATTAGAGCAGAAAGCGATCTTGATTAGGTTCTGAGGCGCATGTCATGGTGATCATTTTACCTTCTGACTTTAAAGATAAACCCAACTGGGTTAGTGGGCAGACAGCAAAGGGCAGAAGCTGCATTTCTTTTTTTCATGATTGGCACATATTTGGTAGGAATATACAGGGTGCTCAGTAAATTTTTCTTAACAAATTTATACAGTGTAAGGAAAATCTGCATTTTCCTTCTTAAATGGGCTCTTAAGACCATTGTGTGTTTGAGATTTTAGGTGAACTGGAGCCTGGGGCATCCTAAGTCTAGTGGATTATTGAGGAAATTTTTAAGAGGATTCAATCCCCAAACTCTGCTGTCAGACAGCTAGATTGGGAGTCTGGAGGCTTGGGGCCCACATCTGACTTGGTCACGCAGCAGCAGAGCAATTCAGTGAATCACAGAGCCTCTTTTTCTCAGTTGTGAAAGGTTCTTCCAGCCTAGAATAGGATTCTGCACAACCAGCCTGGCTTTTCTTAGGATCCCTACACCCATCCGTTCTTTTTTTTTTTTTAAGATTTTATTTATTTATTTGACAGAGAGAGAGATAGCGAGAGCAGGAACACAAGCAGGGGGAGTGGGAGAGGGAGAAGCAGGCTTCCCGCGGAGCAGGGAGCCCGATGCGGGGCTCGATCCCAGGACCCTGGGATCATGACCCAAGCCGAAGGCAGACGCTTAACCGACTGAGCCACCCAGGCGCCCCCCTACACCCATCCGTTCTGAAAGTTAGTGTGTACGGGCAATGTGTCATTTAAAGACTGGAAACAGATTTGTGTGTCCTTCCCAAGATCTTGCTGCAATTCCGGACTTTGAGAGTGGTGCTATGGAAAACTGGGGACTGACCACATACAGAGAATCTAGTCTCTTGTTTGACATTGAGAAGTCTTCGGCAGCAGATCAGCTTGGCGTTACTATGATAGTGTCGCATGAACTCGCTCACCAGGTACACAAAGCTAATCATGCTTTTAAAAATTGTGAAACTACATCTATGTTGCTTTTACGGGACAGAAGAGACTTTTCATATTGACATATGAATTGGATCGATTATTTTCCTATGGAAAAAAGGCAAAGTAAAAATGAGAGTTCTTTAAAGCATTAGGTAGCATGTTTTAAAATGAACATGGAAAGTTTTTTCTTTTTACTTTGATAAAGTATTCTATAAATGTTGCTCATATACTGGCATCGCACATGTGAAATCTTTCCTCCTGAATGCCTTATGTTTATAGCTGTGTAGATAATCCAGTCTCCCTAGAGATGTGTGAACAATCTACTGTTTTCCTTTTAGTGGTTTGGGAACCTCGTCACCATGCAATGGTGGAATGATCTTTGGTTAAATGAGGGATTTGCCAAGTTTATGGAGTTTGTGTCGGTCAGTGTGACTCATCCTGAACTGAAAGTTGTAAGTATTTACTTATTTTTAACAGGTTGATCTGTTTTATTCAGTGTTACTGGAAAATACTTACTGATCCTCAATGATAGAATTCATAGACATATTAACTCCTTGATAGTTGAGCTAGGAATCAGGTTCCCAAAATGGTAGTGAACTTTAAAGGTATCACAAAGGCTTATTTCCAAACCTATGATTGTTAGGAAATGAAGTTAAATCTTACCCTCCTTTAGTATCAAAGAAATAGAAATAATGACAGCCTGTTGCATATCATTTCCTCAACCTTCAGGTTGTTCACTGAAGGATTATTAAGTACAGATTGCTGTTATTTCAATACGATTCTACCTGTCAAATCAGATAGGATCCCATTTGCTTTAGGTAACTGTACGTTTGTTTATATATGAGCCTACACTCAGGAGTCACAAACTGAATGCTTTGAAACCTTTACGTGTTTTGTTTTGTTTTTTAATCAGGTATTTAACTTGTGAAAATCACATGCAATAAAGTTAAAAAGAAACTTTAAGTAAAAACAAAAAAACCTCAAACAGTCCTTTACCCTACTGTAATTTTGACTTCTCATTTTCATCTTTCTGTACACATAATTTATTATAGTTAAAATGTCTATGTAACTATTACACTACAATGGATCATAAATATTTTCCCATTTCCACATAACCCTTAATAAAAATGATTATGTGTGTATGTTATCCTATTAGGTAATATGCCCTAAAAAAACAGATTATACTTTGAGTTTGTTACCCATTTTTTTTTTTGACCACATGGTTTAAAATCTAAATTTCTTTGCTTTAAAATAAGATGATTGGAGATGTTGCAATCTATACACTTTAGTTTGTTGTTTTGATGCTATTTGGCTACAGGCATCATGGTTTTGTTTGTAAGAGAATATGGTCTTCTAAAGTGATAGGATTTAAGATGAACAAAATCTAAAATGTTCACCTAAAATTTTTTCTTGGATGCTCTTTAGCAACAGCAATTCTATTTTATTTTGTAAACCCTATAAATACAGAATAGGTTTGGGCCAGAAATTTGAAGTATAAACATATTACCCCAAACCAAACATTAGTCCTTTCATATTTATTATCTAAAATATAAATCACGTGGGTGATGTTGTCTTTGTCTCAACAGGACGATTATTTCTTCGGCAAGTGTTTTAATGTGATGGAGGTAGATGCATTAAATTCTTCACACCCTATTTCAACAGCTGTGGAGGATCCTGCTCAGATTCGGGAGATGTTTGATGAGGTTTCTTATGAAAAGGTAAAAATGGATGATAAGGGTACATTTTGGACACGAAACTGCTAAAGACTTGGGTGGAGAGCTGATAGGTAGGATTGTGGGGTGGCTTTCCCTTCATAAGGAACGACTCAGATTGAATGCCTTCTATGCTGCCCCATGCTGGCTGGAGTTCACGCTTTAAGGCCTAACTTGCAGTTTGATTGGTAGTCCTGAAGATGATCTTTGAGTCGGTTTTTTCATTTACTCTGTCATAAAATGAGAACTTACGGCCTTTAAGAACGCTGCCTCTTACTTATCATTCAACAAACAGGTCTTGATTGAGCCTCACCTTTGCACCAGGCAAACATTCCTACCTCCTGTAGCTTGCCTTTCGGCGCCTTCAGAAATGGTTGGTATTGTTGAACTGCCGAATACTGTCCTATACAATGTGTTTAATAACATAATCGGAAATGGTTGCTAACATTTAATGGAAGATTTTATATAAAAATCTTTAGCTGGCTTCTCTGGACAAAGGAAAGGAAAGAATTGCAGTCACACTGGTCATAGGGGGCCTGTGTGTTTCCCTCAGCGATACAAGCCGGAGCTAAAGTCCTAGTTCCTCCTTCATGAGATCAAGCTTCTGCTTTCCCAATTGTCTTTCCATTCCCAACCATTCTGTCTTCAACAAGGCAGAGAAGGTCATTTATCATTTTATTTGGCCGATTTATTTCTAACAAACAGAACAGTATTTCTTCGATGTTTTCATCAGCAGTGCAGGGGAGGTAAAAACAGACCTACAGAGGCCTAGCTCAGTGGAACAGATGAGTGAGCCCAGAAATAAACTCACACCTGTATGGTCAGTATTTCTGCGTGTGAAAAGGGAGCTACAGTTGTGAGGGTGGAGAGGAAAGGACTCTTCGCACAGGAGTGCAGGGTCTCGAGTCTTCTCCTGCTCCTTTTGCCGGTGTTCTTCTGGCCCTCTCTGCTCCGGGCTGCCTGCCCTCCCCTGTTCCTTAACTGGTACCTCCGCTTCCATCTCTTGTTGGAGCTACTTTCCCCACTGCTGCTCCGGAGTGGCCCCAGGGAAGGCAGGAGGTGGTGCCAAGTGTTGGTTCAGCACCACTGTGCCCTGACCTATGGATAATGGCCGGTGGTGGTCATTGGCCCTGTGGGGAGGCTTGGTTGCTCTTAGAAAATGATGGCCCTAGGGGACTAAGAAGAGAAACAGTCCTGTTCAATCCCCTGCCTAGACAGGGCCAGGTTTACCCACTTCTTTGGAAAAAATTCTTTTTCTGTAAACCCACTTTCTTTAATTGTGTCACAAGTCACCAGACTTTGAAAATGTTACCACGGTTGCATTTTGAAAGAATTCCTCCAAAATAAAAGTGTGGCGGCAGATTAGATGATGATTAAACTGACAGTTACCTACGTTGTGTTTTCAGGGAGCTTGTATTCTGAATATGCTGAGGGATTATCTCGGTGCCGACGCATTTAAAAGCGGTATTGTGCAGTATCTCCAGAAGTACAGCTACAGAAACACAAGAAATGAGGACCTGTGGGATCGTATGGCAAGTGTGAGTATGGTTTGTTTATATCTGCCTCGGGCATCACCAGGCTTATTACCATGTTGTGGTGGTGGTGGTTTTCTACACCTTATTAATCCCTCTGTGAAGAATCCTGAGTGTTTTCTAGAGAACCAAGAATAACACGTTTGGTTTTGGTTTTTAGATTTGCCCTACAGATGGCACAGAAAGGATGGATGGCTTTTGCTCCAGGGATCCGCATTCATCTTCAACCTCAGTAAGTTTTTACAGCTGTACGTCGGACCCCAGAGCTCATATGCTTACGTCGTATTCTTTGAGGGAAATCTCTGGGCCAGACTCTCTGAAGTCCATCATTATATCACTCTAACTCCACATAAGATTGTGCTTAAACTGTAGCTGACTGACAGGCTTTTTACAGTTTCTCTTAAAAGCTGTCTACATGGAGTTGCATAACCTTTGTGGGTAACACATATCACTGGTACTAATTCGTTCAGCTTCGTTCTCTGGAAAGCAGTGAATTTATGACCTGTTTTTGTGGTACACTGGGGCTGTATCCGTCAGGCCACGTGGGTCCTTTCTATAGGTCTTCATTTGTGGAAAAAACAAATAGGGGCAGCAGGCATCCTTGAGCACTTACTGCGTGTCAGGCACGTGCTAAGCACTTGACTCCTTTACATCTCGGGGTAAACCTGTGAGCGGGGTACTTCTAGCTTAACAGATGGGAATGTGAAATCCAAAAGCATATGTTGAGTAGATTGCAGCGTGGGCATTGAATTTAGATCTAACTCACGTTTTTAACTGCTAAGCTGTAAAGAATTCATAATAATTGAGTCTCAAAACAATATGAGTCTGTTTATCTGGACTTGTGGAGTATTTTCATAGGCAGTGGAGGTTGAGTCTAGAGATTCAGCTGAATTTTATTCACCATATTTTCATTTTTGGGAGCTTTTTGGTTTTTAGAGATTGCTTTACTCTGTGATTTCTAGGTTTTTTGTTTTGTTTTGCCTTTTGTGAACATTTTATTTTTTTTCCAGTGTGAATTTTATTTTTATTTTTATTTATCCATTTTTATTAACATATAATGTATTATTTGTTTCAGGGGTACAGTAGATTTGTTATGTAGTGTTTTTATCCTTTGACTGGCTCTTAAATATCCTTAGAAGCTTTTTTAGTATCAAAGAATGTATCGGCTTTTGAGTTTACAACTGCTGAGTGTGGACCATCTTGATGTTAGCACTTGGGAAGTACAGGCTAGCGGCTGAACATTTTTTCCCACCTTGCTTGTCTGAGCCAGCATTGCTGGGTGCAGTGTGCCAAGACCAAGGGATGCCCGGTAGAACCAGACACAGTACATGCTCATAAGCCGTGACCTGTACCTGTGGGTAGAGGAAGAGAACAGAAAAGCGAGCAGTCTGCACTCGGATGGGAAGGCCATGGCAGCGCGCAGTGTGGGGAAGGGAGGTGGGCAGGGGCTGGCAAGCAGAGCAAGGGGTCAGGGGTTGTGAACAGGTAGCCGCCTGGTGAGCGCAAGCCTGGGCTCTCCATCAGCGTTGGGCGAGTACTCACGGATCTGTTTTCTGTCTGTATCAGCACTGGCGACAGGAAGGCCTTGATGTAAAAACCATGATGAACACGTGGACGCTGCAGAAGGGCTTTCCCCTGATAACGGTCACGGTGAGGGGGAAGAACGTGCACATGAGGCAGGAGCACTACAGGAAAGCACCCGAGGACGCCTCAGAAACTGGGTAATGTTCAGGGTGGAAAACTTGGGGCTATTGCCTCGGTAACACCTGCCTTGTGCGGGGAGACTTTATTTTTCAGACTGCTCTTGTCTTGACCACTAAAATATTTCAGTTAAATCTCTGTATCCTGTGAAGTCGAGTTACACACCACCATCTTCCCAAGAGGATAAGTGTGGCTTTCAACCTTGGTTCATCTCAGTAAAGCTCATAATGTATCAGTATTTTAACATTCCCGTGTTCTGTAGTTTGATGGGATGGTAATTCCAGTTACTAACTGGAAACACCTCTAAACTAAGCAACTGCCACTAAATGCCGATAGTGCCTGGCATTTGGGTTGGAGCTGAGGACATAAACATTCAGGTGATTTCTGGGGATTATGAGAGCCTGTTTTTTGGAGGTCTACATTAGATCCTGGAGCCTGTTTGTTGGTTTTAATACTTCAGAAGGACACCACTGGAAAGGAGATAGTGCACCTTGACTGACCCTAGATGGACAGTACTTAAAAAAAAATTTGTTTTTGAAATACTTTCAGACTTACAGAGAAGTTGCAAGAAGAGCACAAAGAATGCTTGTGTATTCTTTACCCAGATACACATATGTTGACTTTTTAAAGATTTTATTTATTTGACAGACAAAGCACAAGCAGGGGGAGCCGCAGGGGCAGAGGGAGAAGCAGGCTTCCCACTGAGCAGGGAGCCCAATGTGGGGCTCGATCCCAGGACCCCGGGATCATGACCTGAGCCAAGGCAGACGCTCAACCAGCTGAGCCACCCAGGTGCCCCGCATATGTTAACTCTTGACCACATTTGCTCTATCATTCTCTCTCGCCCTCCCTCCCCTTCTCTCCTCTCTTTACATCTAACCTGAAATATGTATATAAAACCTAAAATAGAAGCTTTCCATGTAAAATCCAAAATATGGTTAAAAATGTGCTCTTTATCTTTTTGTATCCTCTCCATATAGCATATGTATATTATAATTAACAAACTGTAACAAACCTATTTCAGATATACATCATACTGATTCAGTATATTTACACATTGCAAAATACCAACGCTAAATCTTATTACCATCTGTCGCTAAAGTTATTACAGTACTATTGACTGTATTCCTTACACCGTACATCTCATGACTTATTTATTTTAAAACTGGAAGTTTGTATCTTAATCTCCTTTACCTATTTCACTCCCCACCCCCGCCCTGCATCACCCCCCATAACCAACAGTCTGTTTCCTTTATTTGAGTCTTTCTGTTTTGTTTTGTTTTTCAGATTACACGTATAGGTGAAATCATACGGTATTTGTCTTTATCTGTAGGACTTCTTTCACTTAGCATAATATCCTTCAGGTCCATCTCTGTTGTTGAAAATGGGAAGATTTCATTCTTTTCTATGGTTAATACTCCATTGTGCGTGTATGTACATATGTGTATATATACATCTTTTTATCCATTTATTAGTGGATATGTAGGTTGCTTCCGTATCTTGCTATAGTTAAACAATGCTGCAGTGAACACACAGGTGCATGTATCTCTTCAGGTGGGTGTTTTCATTTTCTTTGAATAAATACCCAGAAGTAGGATTCCTGGATCATAGTGTAGTTCTATTTTTAATTTTCTGAGCGACCTACATACTGTTTATGATGGTGACCGCACCAATTTACACTGTCAGCATCAGGAAAACGGAGCCTTCCATTTCCTCCTCATTCTTACCTGTACTTGTTATTTTTATTACTTTATTTTCTTTTCATCATGATAACTGTGCTCTTGAATCCCCATCACCTGTTTCACGCATCCCCTCCCACCCATCTCCCCTCTGGTAACCATTGGTTTGTTCTCTATAGTTAAGAGTCTGTTTCTGTTTCCTGGTTTCTCTTTTTGTCCTTGTTTGTTTTATTTCTTAAATTCCACTCATGCGTGAGATCAAACGGTATTTTTGTCTTTCTCTGACTTATTTCGCTTAGCATTATACTCTCCAGTTCTATCCATGTCGTTGCAAATGGCAAGACTTCATTTTCTATGGCTGAGTAATATTCATTATTTATACATGTACCATATCTTCTGTATCCATTCATCTATTGATGGATACTTGGGCTGTTTCCATAATTTGGCTATTATAAATAATGCTGCTGTAAACATCATGGTGCATGTATCCCTTTGAATTAGTGTCTTCATATTCCTTGGGTAGATGCCCAGAAGTGCGGTTGCTGCATCATAGGGGTAGTTCTATTTTTAATGTTTTGAGGAACCTCCATACTGTTTTCCAGAGTTGCTGCCCCAGTTTGCATTCTCACCACCAGTGCACGAGGGTTCCCCTTTCTCCACATCCTCACCAACACTTGTTTCTTGTGTTTTTGATGTTAGCCATTCTGACAGGTGTGAGGTGATATCTCATTGTAGTTTTGATTTGCATTTCCCTGGTAAGTGATGTCGAGCATTTTTTTTCATGTGTCTGTTGGCCATATGGATGTCTCCTTGGGAGAAATGTCTGTTCATGGCTTCTGTCCATTTTTTAATTGGATTATTTTTTGGCTGTTGAGTTTGGTAAGTTCTATATATTTTGGATACTAACCCTTTGTTGGATACATCATTTGCAAATATCTTCTACCATTCCATAGGTTGCATTTTAGCTTTGTTGGCTGTTTCCTTTACTGTGCAGAAGCTTTTTATTTTGATGTAGTCTCAGTAGTTTATTTTTGCTTTTATTTTCCTTAAGAGACCTCTATCTAGAAAGAAGTTGTTACAGCCGATGTTAGAGACCTTACTGCCTGTGCTCTCTTCAAGGACTTCTCTGATTTCAGGGCTTGTATTTAGGTCTTTAATCCATTTTGAGTTTATTTTAGTGTATGGTGAAAGAAAGTGGTATGGTTTCATTCTTTTGCATGTAGCTGTCCAGTTTGCCAACATGATTTGTTGAAGAGACCTTTTTCCATTGTTTACTCATTCCTCTCTTGTCGAAGATTAATTAAGCATATGATCTGGGTTTTCTATTCTGTTCTATTGATCTCTGTGTCTGTTCTTAGGCCAGTACCATATGGTTTTAATTACTACCATTTTGTAATATAACTTAAAATCTGGCATTGTGATACCTCCAGTTTTGTTTTTCTTTTTCAAGATTGCTTTGGCTATTTGAGGTCTTTTGTGGTTCCATACACATTTTAGGATTGTTTGTTCAAGTTCTGTGAAAAATGCTGTTGGTGTTTTGATAGGAATTGTGTTAAATCTGTAGGTTGCTTTGTGTGCCATAGACATTTTAACAGTATTTGTTCTTCTATTCCATGAGCATGGAATGTCTTTCCATTTCTTTGTGTCGTCTTGAATTTCTTTCATCAGTGTTTTTATAGTTTTCAGAATACAGGTCTTTCACCTGTTAGATTAAGTTTATTCCTAGATACTTTGTGTCTGGTACAATTGCAAGTGGGATTGTTTTCTTAATTTCATGTTCGGCTGTTTCATTATTAGTGTATAGGAATGCAAGAGATTTCTGTACATTGATTTTTATATCCCATGACCTCACTAGACTCAGATATCAGTTCTAGTAGTTTTTTAATGGAGCCTTGAGAGTTTTCTACGTATGGTATCATGTCATCTGCAAATAATGAGAATTTTATTTCTTCCTTGCCAATTTGGATGCCTTTTTTTTTTTTTAATGTTGTCTGATTGCTATGGCTAGGACTTCCAGTACTATGTTGATTAAAAGTGATGAGAGTGACATCCTTCTCTTGTTCCTGACATTAGGGGAAGAGGACTCAGTTTTTCACCATTGAGTACAATGTTGGTTGTGAGTTTGCATATAAGGCCTTTATTATGTTGAGGTATGTTTCCTCTGTACCTACTTTTCAGAGGTTTTTATCATGAATGGATGTTTTACTTTGTCCAATGCTTTTTCTACATCTTTGAAATGATCCTATAGTTTATCCTTTTCCTTATGGGATGTATCATGTTGATTCTGTGTGTGTGTGTGTGTGTGTGTGTGTGAGAGAGAGAGAGAGAGAGGAAGAGAGAGAGAGACTGAGCCACCTTTGCGTCCTGGGAATAAATCTGGCTTGATTGTGGCGTATTTTTTTTTTTTAATGTATTGTTGGATTCAGTTTGCTAATACCTTGTTAAGGATTTTTGCATCTATATTCATGAGAGATACTGGTCTGTAGTTCTCTTTTTCTTATTTCTATTGTGGCCTTTTCTTTTCCTCTTAAGATTCCTTAACATTTCTTGTAAGGCTGGTTTGTGGTCATGAACTCCTTTGTCTTTTGCTTATACTGGAAAATCTCTCTCTCCTTCTCTTTCGAATAATAGCCTTGCTGGGTAGGTCATTTGTGGTATTAAGTTTGCCCCTTTCAGCACTTTAAATATATTCTGCTACTCCTTTCTGGTCTGCACAGTTTTTGCTGAAGAATAAGCTGATAGCCTTAGGGTTTCTCTTGTATGTGAGTTTGTATTTCTTTTGCTGCCTTTAAGATTTTCTCTTTAATTGTTGACATTGTAACTGAAATATGTCTTGGTGTGAATCTTTTTGGATTTCTCTTGTTTGGGAGTTTCTGTGCTTTTGGGGCCTGTATGTTTATTTCCTTCCGCAGGTTAGTGAAGTTTTCAACCATTATTTCTTTACGTTTTCTGCCCCTTTCTTCCCTCTTTTCCTTCTGGGACCATTATAATGTGAATGTGAATGTCACTTGCCATTTGATCAGAGGTCCCTTATATACTGTTCTCATTTTTAATTGTTTTCTTTTTGCTCTTCTGATTGGGTGATTTCCACTGTTCTATCTTCTAGATTATTGATCTGTTCTGTATCATCCAATCTGCTGATGGCTTGTATTGTATTTTTCCTAAGTTATTATTCAGCTCTGTGACGTCTATGTGGTACTTAAATTTTCTCTTTATTGAAGTTCTCACTGTATTCTTCCGTTCTTAGTTCAGTGAACATCTTTATGACCATTATTTTGAACTCTTTATCAGGTAAATTACTTACCTATTTCATTAGGTTTTTTTTTTTTTTGCCCTGGGATTTTTTTCATTTTCTCTTGTTGGGAATATAATCCTTGGTGTCCTTAGTTTGTTTGACTTCATATGTCTATTTCTGTGAGTTAGTGTAACCTGTGTAGGTTGCATGTGCCTAGTGGCTTTGGCTGTCCAGCTGAAGCTGGAGTGGGATGGGGGAAATGCCCCATCTGGCTGGAGCCGGAGAGGGCATGGGCCCAGGATTCCCAAACACTGTGCCGGAGCTGCCCTGGTGAGACAGCTAGAGCTGGAGTGTGCATGGACTGGGGAGCTCTGAGGCACTCCTTCGCTGGGCCACCCTGGAGAAACAGCTGGAGTTGGGGGAGGTGCTGCCCTGGTAGGATGTCTAGAGCTGGAGTGGGACCAGGTGCAGTCCATAGGGTCCTGGGTTGTCCTGCTGTGGTAGGATGGCTGGGGCTTGACTGGGTATAAGCCAGGAAGGTCCCAGAGTACTCTGCTGGGGCCATCGTGGCAGGACGACTGGAGCTGGTGTGGGCTAGGGGCCTTGGATGTGCTGGGGTGGACCTAAGCAGCTGGCTAGAGTGACTGAACCCTGCTCCTGTCCACAATATCCTGGTTGGGGGAGAATGTACACAGTGGTGCTCACCAGTGCCTACGACTGCAGAGAGTTCTAGCGGTTTACCCACCGTTTGGTGGATGATCTAGAGTTAGTGGATTTTCCTTCACTTATAATTTAGTTATTCTTTACATTGCTATTCCTCAAATCCCAGGGTGGGCAAGTCTTTGTGTGAGGCCCTCAGTAATAGCGCCCCTCACTGCGTCGGGATGGGATTCCTGCCGTTATCCTGTCCCGCCTCTGCCTTCTCTGTGCGGTCCCTCTGTCATGTGTTGTGCAGAAGCTAGTCAGTCAGCCCTCAGTTCTTCCTCAGGAGGAACTGCTCTATATGTAGGGATAGATTTAGTGTATCCACAGGAGGAGAGGAGTTCGATGTCCTCCTATGCTGCCCTCCTGGATCCACAGTAGCATATTTTTTTTTTAACTGCAAGTAAGTTGGAAACCTGATGTCCTGTATCCTGAAATAGTTCAGTGTGATAGTTCCATAAAAAACAAGAACGTTCACTTATGTAAGCACAGTATAATTATCAAAATTATGAAATTGATCTAATAACTTTGATCTATAAACCTGATTTAACTTTTCCAGTTTTCCTAATAACCTCTTTATAGCAAAAAAAAATTCTGGTTCAGGATTAAGTGTAGGCTCACATTGTATTGTCACATATGTTCGGTTGTATTTTTTTTCTTTTTTTCTTGAAACAGTTCCTCAATATTTTTCTTCCTTGTCCTTGACATTTTTGAAGAGCACAGGCCAGTTTTTTTTTTTTAATAGACTGTCCTCCAGTTTTTGTTTTCTGCTGTTTCTTCATGATGAGATTCAGCTTGTGCATCATTGACAGGAATTCCACTGAAGTGATAATCTATTCTTAACAAATGATGTAGAAGTCACATGATGTCAATTTGTGCCATTTATAGTGGCCACGGTCTTTAAGGTAGGACCTCTGAGTTCCAATCAGCCAACCTCTGCAGAGGATGCTAGGGATCACTGGAGCCCAAATTCCCAGCTCTACTGAAGAAGTCCAAGAAGAATGAATAGTGCTTGAGCTGACGCCCCTTGCAAAGCTGGAAAACAGGCTGGTGACATCTTGACCTCTTGGCTATAGTAGTTTTGGTACCATCATTTAAACTAGCCCGGGTCTGGTATATGATAGATGATTTAATAACTGTTTGTTGGACTGAATCAACAAATAATCTGTCCTTTCTTTAAGGTACCTGTGGCATGTTCCATTGACATTCATTACCAGCAAATCAGACTCAGTTCAAAGATTTTTGCTGAAGACAAAAACAGGTAACTTGCCATAGAAATAACTAGGTTAAGTCCAGAAGAAACTGGAAATATGTAAGACTTAGTTACTGCGTTTGTTTTACTATTTATCATGGTTAAAACCGAAGGATCAGGTCAACCTTTATATTCAGCAAATTGTTGGCTTTCAATTTCTAGTGAAGATAGAAGTTGTCTCTGGTGGCAAAAAAAGAAAGCCAGTGTCTTGCCAGATAGAGATTACAGCAGCTAAGTTATATAATACTAAGAAGGAGGGATTACTGGTGAAAATCCCCCCTTCTTTGACTAACACTGCTGGATCATGTCTCATGTATGGCCTGAAATGTGGCTGTATTCTTCTCATCGATCTATAAATCTCAAAAACTTGGTGCCGAAAGCTAGTGCTGGCTTTTGCCTATTGGAATGGACTTTTCTGGTTTCTAAAAGAAATGTGTTCAATATGAAACTCATTTCAGTATTAAAATTGTTCAATATTCAACTTGCCTTTAGTTTCTTTGTCCAGTCTCTGATCAGAACAGCTTTCATCGGTCAAGAGAGAAAATGGAGCTATGATTTATTTTATTTGCTCTAGATGTGCTCATCCTTCCAGAAGAGGTAGAATGGATCAAATTTAATGTTGGAATGAACGGTTATTACATTGTGCATTATGAGGATGATGGGTGGGATTCTTTGACTGGCCTTTTAAAAGGCGCACACACAACAATCAGCAGCAATGACCGGGCCAGTCTCATCAACAATGCATTTCAGCTCGTCAGGTAATACTCCTCAAGGTGCTGGTTTATTTCTGAAAGCAGCTGTTAGCATTCAAACGCTTAATTTCTAAAGATGAAAATGATTACTTGCTAGTAAGAAGCTGAAGGGTGTTTTCCCCTAAGTTCTTCTTAAATTCCAAGGTTGCTTTTAGTCTTAGGATTAACCACGTGTCTGTGTCTACAGAGTAAGCTAAAGCAAGTAATCTGTATTTTCATCTTACTAACAGCTTAGGTCAGACCGATGCAAAAGTACAGAAAACCAGGAGATCAACCTTGTGGAGAAGCCCCTCATCCCTAAAGCCTTGTCCTGTAGCTTTTCTGGCCATCCTAAAGCTCAGGAGGTTTCTGCCCTGCTGGGTCTTTCACATTTTTGAAGCCTTCTTAGAAGACCACGTGGCTCAGTACCCAGTTGTTTGCATTTTTGTCTCTTGGGTTAAAGGATTTCTCCCCCCACATTCCTCAAACTGGATGCCTGAATTTAATGGAAGCTTTATGGAATAGAGCTTAGAAAATGTGGCCCAACCACATGACGTTTGAGTTGTTGAGGACAGTGTTCACTCTAATTTTTTTGCCTTATGCCAGTGGTTTTTAAGGAAATGGTTCCTAAGCCTGAAACTCAAAATTCTTCAGTATTTAGGCAGAGCTCCAGTCCCCAGGGCAGTGACCCAGGTGGGAAGAAATGATTCTCTAATTCTCCTCATTTCCCATGTCCCTTTGTTCTAAATGTTGGGTTCTTCATTTGCTGGACCTCTCAGGGTGGCAAAGGCAATGGGGGATAAAGATAGAAGTGGTTTATCCGGTTGTTTCTGCCTACCTGAGACTCTTTCCCTCTGTAATAGTATTGCTTATTTCTTGTAGGGTTTTGTACTTAACATATACCCTGCCACTGAGACTTTGAACACCTGCCCTCCATAATGAAGGGTTTGTTTTTAAGATTTTTTTTATTTCATAATGGAACGTTTTTATCTATATTCACTTTCTTTCTGAAATGGAGACAGGAATGTGTTTAATCCAGACACTCAGACTTTTGATTGGGTGGCAGTCTCTCTGACCAACGTTACTGATTTTGATAAAAATCACCATCTTACTCTGGATGTTGAGCACCCACCCAGTCTGTTGCTTCTTAGAGGGACGGACACTGACCTGTCTCCATTTTGTCTTCACCACGAGTTAGCATTGTCTCTATTATTTTTCAAGAAACTTCCCTCACAGTGGTAAATAAGCCAGTGTTATATGTGAAAGAAAAGATACTTATATAAAGGTCACTGTTAATAAGGAGGGCATTTATATCTGATTGAATGTTTTGCTGGGAGATTAAAATATCTTTTGAAACAAAAAGTTGATTTCCTGGTTTTTGTTTAAACTGCTAACCATGGTATCTCTTGCCAGCAATGGGAAGCTATCAATTGAAAAAGCGTTGGATTTAACCCTGTACTTGAAACGTGAAACTGAAATTATGCCAGTGTTCCAAGGTTTGAATGAGCTGATACCTATGTATAAATTAATGGAGAAAAGAGATATGAATGAAGTGGAAAATCAATTCAAGGTAGAAGCCTTCAATAAACTGAATAGTTACATACTGGTTTGCTTTTGTGTGGGTGTGGGAAAGCATCCTTACCATTGTATATATATGTATGTCTTCCTATAAAAGAAAAGTACATCAGAATTAGTATTTGGATTAAATAGCAAAGATTTGGGTTTCATTCCAACACTAAAGCCACAGCACTCTAAGAATCTGTACTTAAATTTTACGGATTTGTTATTCCCTTCTTTTTGCAAATCCTTTATTTCATTTTGTCCTTGGATGGTTACCCTATTTAATTTTTATTATGTTCAAGTTAACATATAATGCATTATTAGTTTCAGGGGTAGAATTTAGTGATTCATCGCTTGCTTTTAACACCCAGTGTTAATGGGTTAATGAGGGCTCATTATATCATGTGACCTCCTTAATGTCCATCACCCAGTAACCCCATCCCTGACCCACTTCTCTAGTAACCCTCAGTTTGTTCCCTGTAGTTAAGAGTCTTTTATGGTTTGCCTCCCTGTTATTTTATTTTTTCCTTCCCTTCCCATATGCTCATCTGTTTTGTTTCTTAAATTCCACATATGAGTGAAATCATATAGTATTTGTCTTTCTTTGACTTATTTCGTTTACCATAATACCCTCTAGTTGGATCCACATCATTGCAAATGGCAAGATTTCATTCTTTTTGATGGCTGAGTAATATTCCATTGCATATATATACATACACACCATACCTTCTTTATCCATTCATCTGTCAATGGACATTTAGGCTCTTTCCCATTTTTGCTATTGTGGACATTGCTGCTATAAATACTGAGGTGCAGATGCCCCTTAGAATCACTCTTTCTGCATCCTTTGGATAAATACCCAGTAGTGCAATTGCTAGGTCATAGGGTAGTTCTATTTTTAACTTTTTGAGGAATCTCCATACTGTTTTCCAGAGTGGCGGCACCAGCTTGCATTCCCACCAACAGTGTAGGAGGGTTCCCCTTTCTCCGCATCCTTGACAACATCTGTTGTTTCCTGACTTGTTTAATTTTAGCCATTCTGACCGGTGTGAGGTGGTATCTTGTTTTGATGGTTACTCTTAAGATACTCCATGACTCAGGGACTTGAGGAAGAGGCACAAAATTGTTATTTTTGGCAAAATGTGTATAATTTGCTCTCAAAATTTAGTCCTGTAAACTTAGTTTGTTTCAAAAGTGGCAGTTCATCGTGGTTTTTAAATAGAGAAAGGTGTATTTATAAAAGATTGTTAGACATTTCTTTGAAAAAAGTTGATGGTATTTTGATAGGGATTGCATTAAATGTGTAGATTGCTCTAGGTAATTGACATCTTGACAATATTTGTTCTTCCAATCCATGAGCATGGAACGTTTTTCCTTTTTTTTTTTTTTTCTTCATTTTTTTCATGAGTATTTTATAGTTTTCTGAGTACAGATTCTTTGCCTCTTTGGTTAGATTTATTCCTAGGTATCTTATGGTTTTGGGTGCAATTGTAAATGGGATCAACTCCTTAATTTCTCTTCTGTCTTGTTGTTGGTGGATAGGAATGCCACTGATTTCCGTGCATTGATTTCATATCCTGCCACTTTACTGAAGGGGGGGTATTTGGAGGGGGAGATGAACCATGACAGACTATGGACTCTGAGAAACAAACTGAGGGTCCTAGAGGGGAGGGGGTGGGGGGATGGGTTGGCCTGGTGATGGGTATTAAAGAGGGCACATTCTGCATGGAGCACTGGGTGTTATGCACAAACAATGAATCATGGAACACTACATCAAAAACTAATGATGTCATGTATGGTGATTCACATAACAATCAAAAATAAAAAAATTAAAGATTTTTATGCAAATAGTAAAAACCATTATTTTCTTGTTTTTGACCCCTTTTATAATTAAATGTAAACAGAATTGCATGGTTTTAAAAAAAGAGTTGGATCAAACTTTAAAAATGAACCCCCACCACCTGAGGATATATCGGCTCCTCTAAAAGCCGAGATGGCCAGGGACGGTACTGGTGACGCATGTGGCTTTCCCCGCAGGCCTTCCTCCTACGGCTGCTGAGGGACCTCATTGATAGCCAGACGTGGACAGATGAGGGCTCCGTCTCCCAGCGCATGCTGCGGAGTCAGCTGCTGCTCCTTGGGTGTGTGCGCAAGTATCAGCCCTGCGTGCGGAGGGCAGAAGCCTACTTCAGAGAGTGGAAGGAAGCGGATGGAAATTTGAGGTCTGTGCTTACTGAACAACCGGTTAGTTCGTATAAAGGCTCTCTGTTCTGTTTTTCCTCATCAGTGCTAAATGTTGGGAGAAAAAAAAAACAAGTAGAAGCAAACCTCCCCTGCTGTACTTTTTGGGAAAATAAATTGCTTTTTAAGATTTTTCTATGTATCTCTCAACTTTCTGTTTTAAGAACTGCTAGGAGGGAACATCTCTATATAAAAGTCAAATATCTGGAGAGTTAAAATAGGATTAGAATAATTTCCATCTAATAGAGGTAAGGCTTAGAACTGAAACTGCTGTCCTGGACAGGAACAGAAGCAGTACATGCCATAATAGTTGTTTCTTTGGGCCTCCAAAGTCCCTGATGAGGTGTGTACAGTAGTTGCTGATACTGTCGAAGCTAAGTAGGCGCTTCCTGTATTTGGAATTTATTCTTGGACTTTAATATTTGGGGCTTAAATCTCTCTAGGAAATAGTAAGCCAACAATCTATATGATTCCATTTAAAGAAATGCCTCCAAACAGTGGTCCTATTGGATTCCTGACTTTTGTTCATGGACTACACGTTGAGTCTAGTTTGAATTTCTTTCTTTTGGCTTAAGAAGTGATCATCTGTCCAGTTACCCAGCATCTACCCAGTTAGATACGTAGGTATTTATCCAAGTGGCTTTTCACATTGTTTTTGAGAAGGGTACTTAAAACCTAATTGTAGATACTTCCTTCTGCCTCTCTCATAAAATCTAACTGAAGGAAAGAGCGGATTTTTGTTTATATTTCCAGGCATGTTGCTCTGATCACTGGGCCAGTTTATCAGTTTGTCAATGGTCACCACTCTACATCCAAACACGCTTCCTGCATCTCAGACTCTCACCAGCGATGTTCTTTTCCACAGCCTGCCCAGCGACGTGACCTTGGCAGTGTTTGCTGTGGGGGTCCAGAACCCTGAAGGATGGGATTTTCTTTATAGAAAGTATCAGTCATCACTGTCTACTTCTGAGAAAGAAAAAATTGAATTTGCCCTCTGTATTAGCCAAGATGAGGACAAGCTTCAGTGGTGAGTAATTTGTTCATGTTCATGTGGCCAGGAGGAATTAAATGAACTCAGATCCTTCCAACATCTCTTTTTGTTCTTTCGGCTGGGAATTGCCTTTTCTGCTGGGAATATTCAAGTGGGCATACATCTGATGAGTACAGTAATTAATTAGGGGACAAGCAGGTGTTAGGAAAAATAAAGGAATATATATTTGTGTCTCTTTAAAATAACATGTTTAGAAATACATACGGCATAGGCCTTTCTTACCTATTTTCTCTTATGAACAAACAAGAGAATATATGAGAATGGGTGTTGTAAATACTAAATGTTAGTTTTTATTATGTAGCCATACCAACTTTATTAGTGCTCTGGTCACCTATTTATCTTGTGTTTATTATTGACAGATGGGCTTTTTTCTTTCACACATTATTTTATTGAAGTAATTCATAACTTTTGCAGGGACTCTCTATTGTTAACATTTCTTCTCTTAATCATTCTAGGCTACTAAATGAAAGTTTTAAGGGAGATGTAATAAAAATTCAAGAGTTTCCACATATTCTTGGAGCTGTTGGTAGGAACCCGGTGGGATATCGATTGGCCTGGCAGTTTCTGAGGGAAAATTGGGATAAACTGATACAAAAGTAAGTAGTGCCAAAAATTGTGTTGTGAGTAGAAAGGTCCATGAACCTGCCTGTGTTTTAGCTTTGTTTGTAAAACAACAGTGATCGTCTAGAGGGGGTTTTTTGATTGAAGATAGCAAGTAGAGGTCCTTAAAAAACTATTCTTAGAAAATAGAGAATTAAATTTAGTGCTAACTCATGAATCTGGATAGTCAGCTGTTCCAGTCTATCTGGAAGAATCCTTTTCCGCACCCACAGACCAATTTGAAGCCCTCCTGTGCACAGTTCATCCCACATCGTGGGTTAGCACTTCTGCTTGCTTGCACCTGCCCTTGCCTTGCTCTTGTAGCACTTACTAAGCTTTTTTTTTTTTTAAGATTTTATTTATTTATTTATTTGAGAGAGAGAATGAGAGAGAGAGAGACAGAGAGAGCATGAGAGGGGGGAGGGTCAGAAGGAGAAGCAGACTCCCCGCTGAGCAGGGAGCCTGACACGGGACTTGATCCCGGGACTCCAGGATCATGACCTGAGCTGAAGGCAGTCGCTTAACCAACTGAGCCACCCAGGCGCCCGCACTTACTAAGCTTCTACTGCTTTCTTTTGGGTACTGAATTATTTATTCAGTGGTTGGTGTATTTTTTTTTTTTTTACAACTACATCTTAATGCATTGGAGGGTAGGGCTCATGTCATGAATTTTTCATACCTGAGCAGTTTCTAGTTAAATGCTGTTACATGCACAAGGCACTTAAAAACACATGTCGAATGAATAAATATTTTATGATACATCTTGACAATTTCCATTTCCAGGTTTGAACTTGGCTCACCTTCCCTAACCTATATGGTAATTGGAACAACAAGTCAGTTCTCCACAAGAGCACGGCTTGAAGAGGTAACCAAAAGTTAATTAAATTTAAGTGACAATTAGCTAATAAATATGGGGTAGACAAAAAAATGGTGTGATGAGTTAGGAATGGATTTTGTCACCTAGTAGATGTTCTTTTTGGATGCAAACTATTGAAAACTGTCTCTTCCTCAACACATCAAGAAGTCTTAGCTCTGTCATTACAAACATTTGGGCTTAAGAAATTAATGGAGACATTTAATCTCTATTTCTTAGGATGTTAAAAGTGATCATTAGAGGTATAAACGACCTACATGATCATCTAGTTATTATGAAAGAGGCAGGTCTGGAATCTTGGTTCTCTGCTATCAAGATTTCTCGTTACTTATTTATGACATTCACTTTGAGAAAGAATTTTAGGCAACTTACAAGGTCGATATGTAAAAGAAATGTTAAATAACAAAAAGCTGCATAATTTACAGAAAGAGGTAACTATGTGAGGGATTTATGCTGAGGATAATTTATTGCAATTGTACCCTAAATGTACCACAGGTTCCTAGCAGTCAGGAAAAAATGAGAAAACAGTAGGAGTTATTCTCATTGTCTAGGAGGAGGGAACCACGGAACATACAAGTTTCCCAGAAAAGCAGACTTTTCTTTCAGCCTTAATCTTTGAGGAATTTCATGTCAAGGTCATTGTTGTGTGATGTCCCTTCTATAATAATGTTTTCAAAGGTGTAGAAAATTTTACAAGGCTTTAAAAATAGGTTGCACATAGATAAAAGCTGAGAACCTAATACTGATCTTTTTAGGAATAGTTCCATTGTATAGTCTGGTTATACCATGATGGAGCTTGATACAGTGAGAATGCTTTGAAAATGCAAAAGAAATGTCACATCCCTTCTCTCTAGTTTTCATGCAGGCTTGTAAAATTAACTGGCACATAATAATTCAAGGTTGAATTCTAGTGAGGTCTACAGCAGAGCTAGTCTGTGTGATGAGGACCAGTCATGAGCTAGGAGTAGCTAGACAGCTGTCCATAAACCAGATCTGTAGCAACAAAACATTGCATTCAGTCACTTGCTCATCCCTTTGTTTTCTCAGTAATTCTTTAAAGATACGACATTTTTACTCTAAGATTGACATGGTAGACCAAGCCCTTGCCCTCACAGAGCTTCAGTTCTACTGGGGGACTGTGAGACAAAGCGACCGAAGTCAGGCGATATGCTCTGAAGATGAATGAGGCGCGGTAAGGAGAGAGTGACGGGGTAAGGGAGCTTTGTGCTATGGGATGTTGAGACTTGTGAGTAGAGACTGAAGGAAATGCAGGTGTCTGTTGTGTGCAGAGGAAACATCAGGTACAAAAGGCCCGAGGTAGGGCATGGAAGTGAAAAAGCCTGGATGTCATCAGAAGGGAGAATGTCCTCCTGTGTAGGAGTCAGCCCAGAACCCTTTCTGGCCTTCACATCCAGTTCATCCCGGAGTCTCACTGGCTTTGCTTCCAGCATCTGTACCCTATCTGTGCACTCATCTGCTTTTATGGCACCCCAGGCTTTTCTGAGTTCTTGCCTGGCCTACGGCAAGAGCATCCTGAATGGCTTCCCGCTTTGCCAATACCAGACCATTTCCCACATTTAAAACTGAAAATCAGCCCATGACTGACCCTTCCTTGAAACCTGACCTGTTGATCTTGGAATAAATTCCAAACCTGTCCTCCCCATGTACACACGACCATGACTGGGCTCCTGCTAGCGCGCCTGTGCCGTCGTGGGTCACCCTCCTGTGACACTTGAGCTGCCCAGCTGCTGCCTGCTCCTGACCTAGAAGGGGCTGATGCTGTCTCTAAGCCTCTAAATTTCTCTTTGCCTGGCTTGCTCTTTGCCTAACTTGTCAGCCGAAAGGCTTGTTGAATCCTTCACAGGTCCCATATCACATGTCACCTTCCCAGGCTGCTCTGTGGAAAGCTGGCCATCCCCGCCCCAGTCACTCCTAGCCTCAGTGTATTTTGTCCACGATAGTAGATTAATAGTAACCACGTTGACTGCCTGTCTTCCTAGGTAGAGTGTAAGCTCTAGGAGGACAAGGGTTCCTTGCCTGGTCCCTTGCCACCCCCTCAGTGTATAGCAGTGTAATTAGGCCGGAGGAATGAGTAAGTGCCAGAGGACATGTTCATGAATAAACGGATGAGGCTGAATCCCTGATACATGCTGGAGTTTGGATTCTGCACTTGACCCACATTATGTAACTACATTCTCCCCAGTGCTCTGCGAGGGAGAGATCAGCCTTACTCCACAAAAGAGAAATTGAGTCCCAGAGAAGTTAAATTGTTTACAAAGGCTCAAACAAGTTAGTAGGATAAAACTATTTCTTTTCTATCTCTATATCACACTGCTTATTGCACAGAAAATACTCTCAAGGACGCAGGTTTGAATCCAACACTCAGTTGGGATGCTGCATTTCCCAAGGTCGATGAGGGTAGGAGAGAGAATTTGGGGTCAGGAAAAGTTTGAGGGCAAGGCTTATCAGCTGGCTTTGTTACAGCTCTTACAGGTCTCTCTCTCTCTCTGTCTCTGTGTCTCTTTTAGTGGTACCATTGTGAAGGGCTCCTTCAGGATTATTTGAAAATATTTAAGTAACTTACTATGTTTAATCATTAAATACTTAGTAAAATTTTTGATGTGACTGGACTGCTGAAAAATGCCTACAGTTCTTTGACCTGAGTATTTTATCTGGAGTCAGAGTATGAAACAGTGGGCTGAGCTGCAACCGACTGCGGACCACGAGGCACGGTCCGTGTTCTTTAGGTGGCTAGAGCAGGAGGGCAGGCCTGGAGCTCATCAGAAAGTTCTACTGAGATACAATTTTAAAAGAACCCCGAATCATTTAAAATTGGAATTTGGCCTTTGAAAAGCCTGTTCTTCCCCTTCTCTTATTCCCAAACTTAAAATAGGATATTATAACATGGATTTTTTAAGGAATTAACTGTCTGGAATCCATGCTGAATAAATAATACATCTTGGCCTAGACTTACTTCCTGTCTCCACAGTCAAAAATTTATGGATTAATGCTGTGAAAACTTAAGGGACAAGGTTAAGAACCTTTTAAGGTGAAACAGTACCACAACAGTCCGTGCTGTGGCAGAGCCAGACTATTTCTATTTCTCATGTGAGCTTAAAGGAGTTAAGAAACCCAGCCATGAAACAAGAGGAGGGGACAGCTGTCTCTTATCTCGTTAAAACATGGGCAACTTTGTGTGGATTTTATCTTAGAGGAACAATACATGAATTGTGGATTAGGATAAAAAAAATTTGGCAACGTTTGGGGGGATTACCACCATAACTTGCTAAGAACCCTTTTCCTCAGTGTTTCTCTAATGACCTGTAAGGCCAGACCCATGGAGAAAGACTGCATTTGTGTGGTTGGAACTGTTTTATTTGGCCAAGAAGATACTCTGCACATTCTGCTTTTTAGATACCATGTTTAAAAAAATAAAGTTTGCATCTGCGTGTATATAACAACACATAATAAATACACTCAAACCCTAATTACTAAACGGTATACAGTGAAGTCTTTTAGAATCTGGCAACTGTGAATAAATAAAGCTGCAGAGAAAAATAAAAATTTGACATCAAGAGGCATGGGCTCATTTCATATAGCTTAAATTTATGTGTACATAATTGTATCCAGACACCTGGCGCTGCCTTCTATGTAGAATTTTGACAAACGCTGGAAATTTGGCTTCAGTTTTCTTTTAACTAGACCAAACTTAGATTTGTGTAATATAGTAAGTTTTTAAAAAATCTGGTTTTTCCTTACCAGGTAAAAGAATTCTTCAGCTCTTTGAAAGAAAAGGGTTCTCAGCTACGTTGTGTCCAGCAAACAATTGAAACCATTGGGGAAAACATCCGTTGGATGGATAAGAATTTTGAGAAGATCAGAGTGTGGCTACAGAGCGAGAAGCTTGAACTGCTCTAACAGTTTGTTCCTCGCTGGTTCCTGTGATGCATTATCGCTAAAATGTTGTCAAATGTGATTATTTTCAAATTAGAGATGGCTGTTTTGGCTCCACTGAAGATACTTCCTTTTCCTTCTTCCTCATTGGACTATTCCTATGAAAAGACCGGCGATGGGTTACTGCTGCTGTGCCTTTTATTGACAGGTGTTGCCCTGCAATGTTAACCCAAGGGGTGGGTGGGTTCCCTACTGTGGAGGAGTACCTTATTCCTTTTGTTTCCTTATACTTAAGCCTTGTGCTTTCCAAAGCCCTGCTCCCCACGTGTGTGTCATCCATAAGCTATTTAGTCACTGTCCCCTAAAGACTTGTGAATAGTGGGGACTACTGAACAATGAACGCTTGGTTCATCTGCTGCAGGCCCAGAGGCCGACCTATAGGCCCGTGGCCTCAGACTTGACTTTTGGTCAGGCTTCCAGGCAGGCAGATGGGCGCTGGGGTGGGAGAGAGTACAAGGGGGTGTTTTATTCCCTGGTTCCCTGGCTGACCTCCACCCAAGCTAGCTCCTGAGAGGCGGCCCTCTCTCCCTCAGTCCTTTCAAAGTCTTCCTTCTTGTAGCAGCTTCCTCCTCTCATCCCTCCAGGCTGAGGGAGGGGTGAAGGGAGCGCCTGGCTTTGACGGGCCCTGGTGGTACCTGTGGGCTCCTTCCATCCTACCCACACCTTTGTTGAGGGAAAAAAAAATGTTTTTTTTGGAACCCTCCTCAATCCTAATTTGAGTGTGTGGTCTACTTCCTCAGGGACCGTGATAGTGTGTCCCTCTGAAAAAGCGGAGGGCATTCAGGTCTAGAGGAGAAGGCTTTCATCTGAAGTTGAACCTGGGAGCTGTTGGTCCTTGGGTAGGTGAGGCTTCTCCCTGCTTCGCAGTCAGCCTAGCTCCCAATTCCCCAATAACTTGTTAGTGGCACTTAGTGCAACTAAGTCGCGGCAGTCTCCCATAAATTATGTACTGTATAACTGAAAATACAATTAGCGTGTGGACAATGTATTGTCTTTGAAGTCTTTTATGAGTTTTAATATACTGTAAAACTTAAACGAATAGGATATGAAAAATGTCAATGCGTTCTAATACACTGTGGAACAGAGTGACTTCTGGACATGTGTTTACAATTCTATTTTTATATGTATTGCATGGTCTGATGGTTTGAGAAATCAAAACAAAACCCGAAATTGCTGGTAATTTCCAACCCTGGGTATTAACCTTCTAAAAGACATACAAAGCCAAGATTTTAATGTAAAATATTTTTAATTTTGTTCTGTATTTTGATTGAAACATGGAAATAGTGGCCTTCATTTCTGGTCACCTGTGGAACCTATTTTAATTTGCTTTTGTTGGCAAAGTCCCATTTTCTAAATAGATACAATATTGCTATAACAATGTGCAAATACTTTTTTTTTGTACTAAAGATTGTTTTCTTGGCCTCTAAGCAGACATTTGCAACGATTTCCTCCTCATGAGCTAGGTTTCAAAGGACACCAATTCTGTAGCTTGGTCTAGTCATCGCCAAGTCTTGAAGACCTTTCTCATGAACAAAAAGGCATATGCAGAGTACCTTTTATGTTCACTATTACAAGCATGCCTTAAATCTTTGGATTTAAAAGTACTTGTATATATGCATGGAAATCACTAATACTGCAGCCGCTTCCCTGCACACTGTCAATGCCGATGGTTTCACTTAAAAAAAAAAAAAAAAAACCCAACTTAATACTATATAATTAGAATAGAAATACAGTTAAATCCTAGAGGATCAGTGTTTATGTTCTCGTTATGTTTAGTCACCCTAACACCGGCTTTTGTTTCCCAGATTTAGAATAAAAGAATAATGCCCGCATCTCTCATGGGATAGATACACAGCATTTAAAGTGGGTGAAGTTTGAAATTCTCTAGGTATGTGCATGTTTTTTAAAGAGAAGTTTTAAAGAGAATTAATTTTAGGCCCCGTTATAAGCAATTGTTCTTTTTTATGCCCTCCCCCACCGTTAGACAGTATTGGTGATATTTAGTTCTAGTGAAGTCAGTCCAGTTCTTATAAAAACTTAGAATACCTGCTAGGTATGTACTCTCTGAAACAAATTGCAAATCAGTTTGATGACATGGACCTGATTATCTTTTCCTGCATTCAGTACCAAGAAATAAGGATGAAATTAAGTATTTATCAGACTCCCCTCAAGGATATCAGTGCTATATTCATAAACAATGCATTTCAAAAGATCTGAGAAAGCATTCAAAGTCATAGGATCTCAAAATCTAGTTCTTGAATTGCTGTAGGGGGAAAACAGGTTTTTAAATTCCAGGTGGGCTTTTTATTTTTCTTTCAAGTCGAAGTTTTTGTATTTGGTAAACCCAACTTCCCTGAAGCCAGATGGGATACAGTGCACGGACTAACAGGGCAATGGCTCTAAGGAACGACTGGCTGTTCTGGTTACATGTATCAGAAATGGAAAACATAGCTTAACACAGTAACCCAAGTGAGTTCAAGGCCTATGCATATTCTAAGGATTAGATTTTACTATCTTGGAACTTGTTATGTGGTGACACAGAGAATGCATTTTGCTCTTCTGACTTGATTCAAGTCTCAATATCTTTTGTGCTGGCTCTAAGGTGCAGAAGTCCTAACTGCTGGCAAAAAACAGTACTGGGTGCAGCGCGTCCTGGTCTGACCAGGTTATCTATTAATTTATTAGCAGCCCAAGAGGAGATAATGTGCCCAATGTACAATATTTTAGGTTTGACTTATAAACATTAACCCAAAGAAATCTCAAGTACAGTTCCAAAGCCCAAGAGGAAATGGATCATGAGAAATCAGGACATTCAACATGTTCAAAGCATTGTTTTCCAAATGCTAACCACAACAAAAGAATTAAGTGCTAACTGAAAATACGAATGAGATTTACAGGCACTGTGTGTAGAATGTGCAAAAATTTGCAAAGGTTTTTCCTTTTTTTGTGTGTTGCTTTATGAAACTATCAAATATATCTCGTAGAAATATAAAGTTCCCGTCTCTCCCAACTGAAGGCATTTTTTAAAAATTCAAAGTTTATCAACACTCAGTACAATAACACAGATGAACCACACAAATTCATTTTCTTTCTGGGAAAAGAATAACCAATGTTTAGGATGTCAAGATTCGACAAGTAACACTGTCTAGAAGCCACCCAGAAAAATTTGCTGTTGTTCAAAGCCTTTTGTCCTTCAAAAGTCACCATCCACCTGCTGAAGATTTTATAGGCAGATACCTTGAAAAATTCAAAGGAAAAAAAAAATCCAGTAAACCGTTTGATACATAATTTTCTTGATACAGGCATAGTAAATTTAACATTTAGTAAAAGCACTAACAGCAACAAGGAATTTCCTACAAGTAAACATGAGCATGTTCTTCGAAAACTCTAGAATTTAGAAAATAGAAAACTTGTAATTTGGGTGAAAATCTTTGGAATAGTTCTAATAAGGATACCTCCCCCTTGTTAAAGGAAATAAAAGACCATGGTGACAAAGACTAACCCAATCTAACCTACACTTTTATTTTCTTTAGGCTTTGGTCAGCCAGTGGTCATAAGGTTCGATGGCTTAGAATAAGACCTATTCTTCGATAAGAGGAATTACATAGTAAGAATTATAAGGGCTCTCAACATGTATCTCAGAGATTCCCTCATCCAAATGAGTTCTTTAGTTACCATCAAGTAGAATTAAACAAAGCACTTGACTTTGACCACTTTTGTTGATCTTAGTTTTGCAATCTTTTCTTTTGCCTTTGTTCCAAAAAACCCTGTAATTTCCACTAGACCATAGGGGTACTTCTGTCCAGCCCACCATGTTGGTCTTTCGGTAACATCAGCATCATAAGGACATTTCTCTGTAAGATGTCACAGGCTAACTGGGCTTTGTCACAGTAACCTGCAGTCACAAGCATTTGGGTGTCAAAGACTCGGCTAGACTTAGGTGGTCATTTTCTTTAGGAGTCTGGCCTGATACTTTTTTTTTTAATTTTTTATTGTTATGTTAATCACCATACATTACATCGTTAGTTCTTGATGTAGTGTTCCATGATTCATTGTTTGTGCATAACATCCAGTGCTCCCCGCAGAATGTACCCATCACCAGGCTAACCCATCCCCCCCACCCTCCTCCCCTGGCCTGGTATTTTAAAGAGCTCTTAATTATAAGATTACTATTTTTAAACATTCCAGTAGCAGATGATTCCATTTATTGCTTTTCAGCAAATTAACCTGGACAGTGCAATGTACATTTCATGCCAATAGTGTAGAGAGAGCATAGGTCAGAATTGGACTCAGTTTCCCTTGCCTATAACACAGGTCTGTGGAAGGTACAGTAGTCCTTCACTCACAACAAACACCCAACTTACCAAATAGTGTGAACTTTAACTTGTATTTTTTCCATCAGCTTTTAGCTTGGAAGTTTCCTCTTCTGCCTAAAAGGGAAAGCAGAACCATCACTGAACTCCTTCTTTCCTGGATTAAGTATCAAAATCCAGATCCATCAGAAGATGCTTAAGAGGAGATGGGCTTTTCAGAATTAAAGGGTCAAAAGACGACAGGTCAGTGGAGGAAAATACGATGGGCCTAAGGATTTCATTTAGTCCAAACTGAATTGTTCTCCAAGTTTGTAAACTAAAAATAACCTTAACTGATTTAAAGTATTTTACTCTAATTTTTTTTTTCTTGAAGGCTAGGGTAATTGAAGAAAAAACACACAGGTGTTCTTGGATGCTATTCATTCGTTCTATAGTGATGAATTCACTCTTAGGGGCATTTTTGGGCACTAATCCGCTGAGAATATAATCTATTAGAGATAAATCCATGAGCAACTAATTATCAAATCTGGTTTCCTATATCCTTTATGGGTTTCACTCCTTTTTTGAGGTATAAAATTGACATATAACATTAGTTTCAAGTGCACAACAATGATTCGGTATTTGGTATATATTGCAAAATGATGAACACAGTAAGTAGTTAAAATTTTTCCCCTTGTGATGAGAACATTTCTCTGTTAGCAACTTTCAAATATGCAAATATAGCATTATGAACTGTAGTCAATAGGTTGTACTATATAGTCCCATGACTTTTTTTTTTTTTTTTAATAACTGGAAGTTTGTATCTTCTGACCTTCACCATTCTCACCCACCCCACATCCCTCTCGCCTCTGGCAACCACCAGCTGATGAGCTTACTTTTGTTTTTAGATTCCCCATGTAAGTGAGATCATGTGGTATTTATCTTTCTCTCAATGACTTACTTCACTTACCATGATGCTCTCAAGGTCCATTCATGTTACAAGTGGCAAGAGTTTTAGGGCTGAAGAGTACCCTATTGTATATATACACATCTGCTTGATCCATACAGCCACTGATGGACACTTCGATTGTATCCATTTCTAGGCTATTGTAATTAAGGCTGCCATGAATAGAGGGGTGCATATATTTTCCTAAGTTTGCCTTTTCTTAGGATAAATACCCAAAGGAAGAACTGCTGGATCATAGGCTATTTCTATTTGTAATTTTTTGAAAAACCTCCATCCTGCTTTCCTTAGTGGCTACACCAATTTACATTCCGACCAAGAGTGTATGAGGTTCCCTTTTCTCCTCGTTTTCTCTTCGTTTTTTCATCTTGTTGGTGGTTTTCTTTGCTATGTAGAAGCTTTTTAGTTTGATCTAGTCCCTTTTGTTAATTTTTGCTTTTGTTGACTTTGCTTTTGGTATCAAATCCATGAAATCCCTCCTAAGACTAATGTTAAGGAGCTTACCACCTATGTTTTCTTCTAGAAGTATTCTGGTTTCAGGTCTTGAATTCAAGTCTTTAATAACATTTTATTTTTACGTATAGTTTAAGATGGGGGTCCAGCTTTCCCAATACTACTGAAAAGACCATCCCTTTCCCCATTGTATATTCTCTTTTGTTGTAAAAGGACCATATATGTGTGGCCTTATTTCTGGGCTCTCTACTCTGTTCAGTTGATCTATGTGTGTGTTTTCATGCCAATACCATTACTGTTTTGGTTAACTATAGTTTTGTAAGATAGTTTAAAATTGGGAGTGTGATGCCTCTGGCTTAGTTATTCTCAAGACTGTTTTGGCTATTCAGGGTCTTCTGTAGTTTTATACAAATTTTAGGATTTTTAAAAGATTTGTGAAAAAATGCCATTGCAATATTGATGGGGAATGAACTGAATCTGTACATTGTTTTGGGTAGTATGGACATTTTAACGATATTAAATCTTCCAATCCCATAAGTACAGAATCTTTACATTTAGTTGTGCCTTCAATTTCTTTCATCAATGTCTTCTAGTTCTCAGTGGGTAGTTCTTTGAGCTCCCTGGTTAAATTTATTTCTAGGTATTTTATTTTTTGATATAACTGTAAATGGGAGTTTCCTTAATTTTATTGTTATTAACATATAGAATTGCAACAGATTATTGTATATCGATTTTCATATGCTGCAGCCTTACTAAATTCAACAGTCTTTGGTGGAATTCTTTGGTATCTTTTATATATAATATTCTATCATCTGAAAATAGTGACAGTTTTACTTCTTGCTTTCCAATTTGGATGCCTTTTCTTTTTCTTGCTTAAGTGCTTTGAACAGGACTTTTAATAGAATGTTGAATAAAAGTGATGAGTGGGCATTTTTGTCTTCCTAATTTTAAAAGAAAGTTTTCAGCTTTTCACCATTAAGTATGATGCTAGCTTTGGGTCTGTCATATATGGCTTTTGTTATGTTCGGGTATGTCTCTATATATACCAACTTTGCTGAGTTATCATAAGTGAAAGTTGAAATTTATCCAATGCTTTTTCTGCTTCTGTTGAAATGAGAGGATTTTTATCCTTCATTTTATTAATGTGGTATAGATCACATTGAATGATTCAGGGGTGTTGAACCAGCCTTGCATCCCTGGAATAAATCCCACTTGATAATGTTATATGATCCATTTGACAATATTTTGAGGATATTTTTAAAATCTATGTTCATCAGGAATATTGGCTTGTGATTTTATGTCCTGCTGTGCTTTGGTTATCAGAGTAATGCTTGTCCTATAACATCACTTTGGAAGTGTTCTTTCCTTCTCTATTTTTTGGAAGAGTTTGAGAAGGATTGGTATTAATTATTCTTTGAATATTTGGTAGAATTCTCTAGTGAAGCTGTCTTGTCCTGAATGTTTGGGAGGCTTCTGATTACTGCTTTAATCTCCTTAGTCTGAACTGGTCAGTAATTACTATTTCATCCTGATTTCAGTCTCGGTAGGATGTAGGTTTCTCTCTTCTAAACAGTTCATTATGTTGGCATGTAACTGGTCATTATGCACTCACTGCCATTTTAATTGTTTTTGGCTGTTTTGTAGATCCTCTTTTCCTTTTTTCTCTATTCCTTTGTGATTTGATGACTTTCTGTATTAGTAAGCTTATATTCCTATTTTTTTGTGCATTTACTATTGATTTTTGCTTTGTAGTTATTATGAAGTTTATGTATGACAACGTAAAAGTCTATTTACAGTTGATAACAAGTTTGCACTCTAAAGCTGTATATTTTTACTCCTCCCATCCTTTGTTTTTTGACATGCATTTTACATATTTTTATCTTGTGTATCCCTTAGTGGATTATTATAGTCAGTTTTTACTACTTTTGTCTTCTAACCTTCCTGCTGGCTTTGTACATGACTGATTTACACCTTCACATTATTCTAAATCTTACTGTATATTTACCTTTGCAGTGAGATTTGTTCTTCCATAAGTTTAACTGATACTAATGAGCACCCTTTATTTTCAGCTCCAAGAAGTCCCTTCAACATGGCTTGTAAGGCTAGCTTAGTGCTGATGAACTCTTTTGGCTTTTCCTGGTCTGGAAAACTTTTGCTCTCTTTCTATTCTGAATGACAACTTTGCTAGGTAGAAGATTCTTAGTTGAAAGGTCATTTTTTTTTGTTTTTGTTTTTTTTAAATTTCAGCACTGTTAATAGCTGCCACTAGCTCTGGCCTGCAAAGTTTCTGCCAACAGTCTGCTGATAGACACAGGTGATTTTCTTTTGCTGTGTTGAAGATTCTCTCCTGACTTTAACTTGTGATTTTTCAGTTACAATGTTACTTGGTGTGGGTGTCTTTAAATTCATCTTCTTGGGGGATCCTATGGTCATCCTGGATCTGGATGTCTGTTTCCTTCTGCAGGTTAGGGAAGGGCTCGGCCATTATCTCTTCTCCTTCTGGGACCCCGATAATGTTAAGGTTCATCTACTTGATGTTGTCCTGTAAGTTCCTTAACCTATCTTTACTTTTTTTCTCCCGATTCTTTTTTTTTATTGCTCTGATTGGGTGGGTTCTGCTATGTCTTTATGTTCACTAATCCTTTCTTATGCTTCATAGACTGTTCAATTTTTCAGTTCAGTTACTGTATTTTTCAGCACTGTGACTTCTGTTTGGTACTTTGTCATTATTCCCATCTCTTGTTGAAGTTCTCACTGTGTTCATTCATTCCTCTCCCAAACTGGGTGAGCAGCTTTTTTTAATATTTGTTTATTTAAGAGTGTGTGTGTGTGGCAGGGAGGAGGCAGAGGGAGAATCCCAAGCAGACTCCCTACTGAGCACGGAGCCCAATGTGGAGCTTGATCTTATGACCTGAGCTGAAATCAAGAATTGGACGCTTAACTGACTGAGCCACCCAGGTGCCCCTGGTGAGCATCTTTTTAACTATTATGTTGACCTCTTCATCAGGTAAATAGCTCAGGTCCATTCTATTTTGTTTTTTGAGTTCCCCCTGAGATTTAATCTTGTTCTTTGATTTGGAGCCTATTCATCCACTGCTTCATGTTCCTTGACTCTGTGTTGGTTTCTATACTTTAAATCAAACAGACACTCTGGTAGTCCTGAAGGAGTGTCCTGATGCAGGAGATGAACCTTATTGTTTAACCCTGCCCGAGCTCTTGGTTATCTCTCAAACCTTTGTGATAGGCTGCTTAGACAATTTTATTTTTAGTGGGTCCTAGTGTTTGAGAGGGTGCCATGTTCTGTCAGGGTCCCAAAGGGGAGGATCTCTTGTCAGCATCCAGATTGAAGCTGATGGAAGCCAATGCCTTACATAGCATCAGTTAAAGAATGCACATATATACAGTCCAGTGAGACCACAATCTAAGTCCTGCTGGCTTGCCAGAGCCCAGTGATCTGGGGGGTCCCTTAAGTGGCAGTCACTAAAAACTAGATTTCCAGATAAGTATGTTAACTGCTTTCCAGCAGATACTGATGACTGAAGTGAGGCAGAGGGAGATAGAGGCCGGTGGACACTATCATTCTGTCTTGCAAAGTATTTAAACAGGCCCCTAGACAAGTGTTACATAAGATGCCTGACACTCAGGTCAATGCATAAGATGAGCCATTACACTTTCACAGAAAGTCTGGGTGCTTTTCAATTGGCTGCCTCCATGCTGGACTCTGGAGCAGGTGAGTCTGTGCTCTCAAGCCTTTTAAGAAAATTTCTCAGATCACTAAAGCCTTGTGGGGCTTGTGGATACAAGCCCCATTGGATTTCAGAGCTATATATTTGTGGGCTTCTCTCTCAAATGCAGGTCTTAAAAGGTGGGGTGCCTAATGAGGGGTTCAAATCCTTTGCTCCTCAGGAAGAAGCTGTGGGTTTTGACTTCCCTTTTGATTATGGGTCATGGTGACTGGGGTTGTGTTTCTGGTGAGATTGTGTTCCTGTCTCCTACCTGCTTCCATTTGGGCTGCTCGCATTTGCTAGGTAAGTAGGAGTCACGCAGCTAGTTTTGGGCTTTTTTTCACAGGACATTGTTAGATATGCACCTGTAGGTTCAGTGTGTCCATGGGAGAAGGTAGGTCACCATTTTGCTTCCTAGAGCTTTGATGCAGCTGGCATATAGTTTTTAAAGCTATACCTTCAGTTTCTCATTATAGTCAAGGGATCACAGAAATAACCCTTTAAATTCTATGTTCTTGGAATAGGAAAGGATCTAGAAATTGTCTCATCTAATTTGCATTCCTGCCCTGAGCACACTTTGAGTAATTTTAATAGGCATCTCCCAACAGTTTCACTCCATTAATGCCCAACTCTAAGAAATCAGACCCTGTAATTTTTTTTTTTTTTTTTAAATAATCTATACACCCAGCATGGGGCTTGAGCTCACAACCCAGAGATCAAGAGTTATAGCTCTACTGACTGAGGCAGCCAGGTACCCTTGGACCCTGTAACTTCTCATTGATCTTAGTACATCATTTTTCACGGTGCTCTAGAAAATAGAACTAATAATCTTCCCTTCCAGGTGGCATCTAATGAATATTCTGGATCATAGAAACCCTCAGATCTTAATTCTGTATACTACTTCTATGTCCTAAAATTTATACCAACCACATTTCTTGGCATTATCTCCCCTACTGCTGCCACCACCATTTAAATGTCTGAATTTGCTATGGTTTTTACAGTGCATAACATCTCATAATCAAATTGCTGACTTTTTTCCTTAATGGTATATAATTTTTTTTTATAACTAGCGGTTTACATTTAATGAAACACAGATTATGAATCTGATTTGTCAATGTGTTATACACAAATGGGAATGTGCAATAGGCAATTTCAAGTAGTGCTATGGTTCTTTGGAGGCGGGGAGGGATAAAAAAAATTCACCCTTCCAAGTATTTGCCAAAGTCTCAATCTACCACATTATCAACTCTTAATGCCCCAAAGCCTACTACTGAGAGATCAAGTAAACTAAGGATAAGGACCAATGAACTAGCAACCAGTAAGTCATCACTGGTTGCAGGTAGGGCTCAAGCAGAGGAAGCAGGAGTCCCAGATGTCTGAGGGAGGTCAAAGTACTGAAGGAATTGGGCTGTAGGCTTATAACTGGAGAATTGCTTTTACAGTGGTGAAAGAACTGGAATTGTTTATAATACAAGGACAAAGAATCAAGATGAACAGACTGGAGAGAGTGGATTATTGACCCCTCAGAGAGAAGGGCCACACTGGGGCAAGCAGGAGAGAAGGTTGTCAGTGGGGAGGTGGGTAGGCGACCTTCGGGATTTTGTGCAGGGTGGCCTCCACTTTCTCTTTGAAATTGAAGGCAAAGGTAGCTGCACACAAGGGGGTGTAGCAGGAGGAGAGTCTGAAGAAAGTGGGATTGGGGGGGGCTACATTGATTGTGGGCTAGCTAGCACAGACAGCTCGGTGGGCACTGTGGACCATAAAATTAGAGTGGGCTCATCCAGAGTCTGTGAGACAGAGGAGGGAAATGCAAGAAATTTGAATTGCATTAAGAATGATCATTTAGATTTCTCAAGTCCCACATACTTTTCTAAGTCTCTAAAACTTCAATTTCTTAAGCAAGATATGCTCTGGGATATTCTGACTAGATTCCAGTTAGAAACCAAATGGTTAAAAGGATAAATGCTACTCCATGTAATTGCTACTCTGTAGTAATATTTAGAGCTGTTTACCTTGGCGGACTCCTTTGCTTTACCTCCATTCTTGGCTGCTTTGGTGCTGGGAGCAGTTCTCTTGACTTTGTCCTAAAGCAAAGGAAACATAATGAGGCTACTGTTATCAGCCCATCGAGTGTAATCAAATAATGGAAAACTTTGAATATACATAGAAGTGGTTAAGGCAGAATGTAAAAATGATTAAAAATACAGAGGAAAATGTGGGTCACACTGATGTTCTGCCAATTTCCATGAGGAATTCTCATCAAAACAGAGTTTGTTTCTATTGGTACCAGTTTATATGTGCCAACAAAGCAAGAATGGGATACTCATTTTCAGTGTTAAGGAAAACAAATTTAACGATAGAAATCATCACAGAGAGTGCAGGCAAGTCTCATACAAAGTCCCGTTCACCAAAAAGGCATTATTTATCCAGGAGCAAGAAAAAGGATGCTGAAGTAGTCTAGAAATTAAATCACCCAACAAGGGGAGGACTGACAATTCAGTGACTGGGGGGAGGTGTTTAGTAAGAGCAAAACAATAGCAAACAGATCTGCAGTTATTGTTCTGAAAATGACTTTCAAGGGCACTCAATTCACTTTTCTACATGATTTGTATAAGGGCATGGCTATAGCTTCAAGGCCACATACCTGTTGTACCCCTAGTTTTCCATTCACCTTTAATCATATGTTCTGAGCACTTGCTACCGCTGAGCACAGCTGCACAGCGCACTGGTATAACACAGGCCAAGTGGGGCCCAGAGGGCAGGGGGCGCCCTTGACCTGGGGGGCGGGGCAGGGGGCAGAATCAGCCAGATGGGCACTGGCAGAAAGGAGAGGAAACCCCAGGGGGCAACAGCCCGGAGAAGGCGCCGTGTGGGTGGGGCCTGCTCTCGTTTTAAATGAGCAGAGACAAACCATTAGTGTCCAATGCCAAGAGTGGCCATCAAACATGATGGCTTCAGGAGGTTATACAGCAACATAAAAAACACTTATGAAATAAGTACTGTATTAGATATGGACTTAAACTTACACATGCATATTACCTGAAGTAATGGACCATATATATGTATCCTATATATATATTTAATGTTTAAGTATATAGAAATATATATAAATATAATTATATGTAACATGTTATGTAATATATAAATTATATTACATATAATGTATTGAATATACATACACAACACACACAACTATGTAAAACATATGGAAAAAGCTAAATATGCCCAATAATGTTGGGTACTATAATTATGGATTTTTTCAAGTTCTTTATGGCATCACTGAATTCGTTCTGCAGCCTACAGCTCTATGCAGACACACAAAGTCCATATGAAGAAGTATAGCACCTCTGCTGTGTTCTCTGAGGCTCCTGTGGGTGCAGGACAGCTGTCAAAATCGCCTGACAGGGCATCAATGGGGTCTTTGTCATCTTCAGGTTTCTGAGATATTAAGAGAAATAACCATCAGTGAAGGAGCACGAGGCAAAAATACTGTAAGGGACATTTTTCCACATCACTGAAAATAAGGTATTAATGAGGAAACCTTGCTAACATTCTTTTCCTAAATTAAAACATGAAAATCCTTACAGCTTTACTTTCTTCCCTTTTACACAAGTTTGCTTAGTATTCTAAGCCTCAATTATTCAATCTGAAAAACGGGTCTAAATGTGCTCTTGTGAGGGCTAACAGAGAGAAATCACACACAGCCACTCATCTTCACATTGTACCAAGCACAGGGCAGCCATTCGATAAATTTCAGATTTCTAAAAAGCAAAATAAAGTTCAGCTAGAACGAAAAAAACCTTTGTTTATGGGAACATGCTGCTATGGTATTTACCTTTGAGTCCTTGGGTTTCTTTGCAGGTGGCTTTGCTGGTTTGCCCTTTAAAACAAGGTAGGTTATTAGTTAAACACAGATCTTTGTAAAGGCTTCCCTCAGTGTAGTCAGTAATTGTAGACTCTATGGTTTAATGCCTTGCCTGAGAATCAATGGAGCAGAGATGTGCAGGAAGTGATAAACCTCAAGAGGCTGGTCGTGGAAGTGAAGGAAACAATTATTTAGGAACTTCCTGCCATCATGTGTTAAAATTCGACTTAGAATATTACAAAAAGTAACTTGTGTTTTTCTGTCTTATTTATAAGAGCTTATATGTTGGAAGGCTTTGAGGGGTTGGAATGGCATATGTTTTTCTTTTTTTCAGGATTACAAGTATAACTCAGCAGGGACTTTACCCATCTACACAGGCAAGGACATTAAATAATACCTTTCCCATGGAATACAAGCAGAGTCAGACAGCACTATCAAAGCAGGGAGGCTTCTAGCAGGATGCAGAAATGCTATCTTCAGGAATAGAGAATGCAAGCAAGGAGAATTGATTTCTCTAAGAGACACTGAAGAAAACACTTCCAATCAGAGTCCTCAACCCCACCCAATGAATCAGTACAGAATGGGAAGGATCTAATTTAGGCTTCCTTATTTCTCACTCAACAGACCCGGAAAGGGTTATTTCTCAGCTCACTGACTTGCAACGAGGAGCCGAAAGGGAAGGGTACAGGCCCAGCTGACCTAAGGAAAACTGGTTTCATTTAGAGACAAACAGCCGAAGACCTGACAGTATATTTAGATCTAGCAAGAGGACTTGGGACAGGGAATATGGTTTTGCCTGTCTTTACTCGGAATAGTGCTGCTGGTGGTACGGAGGAATAAAGGAAGAGCCCAAGTTGCAGAGGGGCCTTATTTATTTATTTATGAATTAGTCCAGTACCAGCTCCTTTGTCTGCTTTAGGCAGGAGTACAACTACCATTTTTTATAGCCTTTTCTTGCAAAGAGAATGCATCTGTGCACATGCCCTGGAATCTTAAGCACCAGTGACTGACTGAACACTATTCAACTCAGTATACACCACAGCGCCCAGGGTAGTGAACATCAAACGATACTGGCTCGAATAAATATTCAGCAGAATGCTAGACAAGCTGCTCAGGAGAGACAGTAAAAGCACTCCTTTATGTGACATTTTTATGCTGTGAAAAGTGCACCTCCTGTTCCTTGCAAGGGGGATTCGAATGTAAACAGCTTTGTGCTATATATCCAACCTACATCTGCCTTCACTTACTTCCTCATTATCCAAGAGGTGTCTGTATTCAGGGGGGATGGTGTCATCTCTTTCTCCCAGCTTGTCTCTGTGTTCGGCTTTAGCTCTTTCCTGTAAACATGGAACAGACAGAATATTTGCTCCCTTAGTACTTTCTAAAACGCAGCAGTCAGCATTTATTCTACTTCCCCAAGATAAACAGTCTCTTTATTTTCTAAGTAACAAAACAAAACATTGTCAACAGACAATGACTTGATGAAAAAAAGTGAATCTAGGTGCTTCTACACGTCAATCTACACGTGTGGATTTCTACCTGTATTTTAAGATAAATGATGAAATATTTATCCTTAGAAACCACGGAAAGAGAGAAAAACCAAGTGTATAAACTATCTTTTGTCTTTATGTGAGTTTCACTTTTTAAATAAGGTAAGTCACTGTACTTTGATTTTGAGAGAGGAACTATTTACAACCTTGATGTTTCAGAGCAACGCTGAAGGACCAGCCCGCACAGCCAACCCGAATGAGTGTGCTGACTACTTGAGTTGTGGGGGAGGAAGCACTTGCTGCTGGGGAAGCGGCAGCTTCACCTCCCTGCATCCTCACCTCATGGGGGCACGTCTGTCACAGATTCGGTGACATTCACTCCCCACCCCACCCCCCCGGGGGGGGTGGGGGGAACAGGCTTCATTTTTCTGCATCATTATTTCATTTTTCAAATACAGGTCAAGTTCACATCAATGGTCCTATAACACCGGGAGAATGAAGACCTAAGGATCCTTTGAAATGCCCTGGGACATGGATCTGGCTGGTCACTTCCAAGCTAAACGGATCATGTAGTACTTACTGGATACTGTTAGCATGAGTAAGCACTTCCTGATGTTCTAGAAGGTGTGTAGAGCTAACAGTGTTTGCCTTGCAGACACGCTTCTGCTCAGCGCTGACTCCTGGCCCAATGCTTCACTTAGGGGTTTGCACACAGAGTTATGACGGCTCAGGAGTCTCCTAGGGAAATCTGACAAATAGGGGACCTCTGCCCCTACATGCACAGAGTATGTCACCCTAAAAAATGCACGTATCTGTGGGCCATAGATGTGATAGATGCTTACTGCCAGATAAAACCAAGAAAAGTTAATGTGGGAAACGAATGAAAGTAAAGCAGAGCTGTACTTTTCCATCATAACTAAGTCTGGTCTCACAAATAGGACATCCGCCTGAGCGTGTGCCCCAGCATAGTCCTCACTGAGGCAAAAAATTCAACAGACTATAGAGAAGGAAAAAAATGAGACTTAAGTTACCCAACTGTTCCCTAAAACTCCAAAGTCAGAAGTGGATTTTTTTTTTTCCTTTTATGTGCACGGTAGGATACTTTACGCTATGAAAACCTTAGATTTAACTTATATACTTTTTTACCTTGACCTTATCCTCTATTGGTTTGTTGTCATCTGGATCAGGCTGCCTTTGTCCTAGACTGTCAGAAAGTTGATCCAACGCATCGTCCAGTTCTTTGTTGTCACTCTGCTAAAAAGTCAATCTGAATTAGTCACTGGTTAGCCAAATCAGGTCCTCTTGGAATGTGGCCCTGACACAGCCACTAAGATTTCCATAAACTCATGAGATTTTCACCTGGGAGGTGGGCAGGCCCTTGGGTGGCGCTCCTTCCCCTAATCTTTCCCTATCCACACTGCCATGGGCCTGTCTATCCCATCCTACCCCCGATGCCTCTCTCTCCTAAAAAAAACAAGAGGCTCCAAAAATTAGGGAGTTCCTGGCCTGCTTTGTTGGAAAATGCGTCTTCCTAGGCATTCAGTGCGTGCAACACTCCTGGTGACAGTCTGAGGGCTCAGGAAAGAAAACACATGAATTATGGTAGCTTATTTTCTGATTCCCACATTTACTCATTTAAGTAAAGATTTATAAAGAGTCTGAGTGATGGCTTCATACAAAATATTAACTGAAACTAGACTTTATGATGGGAAACGGGATGGGAAAGGTGTCATCCTAAAACAGACCTGTGAAAGGCATACAGGCTTTGGATTGCACATGTTCACCACCCCCCTCAGCCAGGGCAGAGCCCTCATGTGAGTTGTAAGGACTAAAGGGTAAACAGCAGCCTGGCTCATTAATGATTCTTCCTGTGCACAGGCACTTTCGTCATTGTGGGGACAGACACACACACACACACACCTGGCTCATTAATGATTCTTCCTGTGCACAGGCACTTTCGTCATTGTGGGGGGACGGACACACACACACGCGCGCGCGCACGGCATTTTACTGGTTTTAAGAGCTTCGATGGAGCCCAGGATTAGAGCTGTTAATGGTGGAGCTAACCACGGCTGAGCCTGGGCTTTGTCATTTGGGCCTCTGGATATTTTCAGATGATCCTGAGGCTGACCCAACAGGATGCAAATTCGTTCAGAATCTCAGACTACAGCACTAAGCAGCAAGCTTTGATGCTACATCAAAAGGAAAGGAAGCATAGCTGACTTCACTAAAGCTACTTCATCTCCATCTAGCAAACGAGGTACTTGTTCTCATCCAAAGGAGATGGGGATCTGGTTTAGGGCGATCTCTTTGATGTGGTGTGGTCTCCTCGCCTCGATAATGTATAATTTGGTACTGCACAGAAAATTAATCAAGGAAGTCTGGAAAAGCTTTGGTCCCACAGAACTGCCTCAGAACATGTAAATAATTAAAACAGTATTGATGCTGAGGTTTTTGTATTGCTACCATGAAAATGACAAAGTTTTCCTGGTATGAATGGGAGGAAAACTGCTCTGACATGACATATTTGAATTTTTGGGAGAAGGAGCTCAAACACTGAGCAATTCCATAAAATAAACTTGAAGTTCAATAATGCGGAGTACTGATAGCATGTGTCAGGAAAAACATAAAGGAGGAGAATATAATCAGGAAAGCTAAAGAATTCATCAAATCTAATAATTCGAATATATACACAATGCATACTCCTGCTCTTTCAATTCTAATAAAGCAACAGTAATATTAAGCTCCTGGACTATGTGTAAAATACTTCATAAACATTGTTTCATTTAATTACTTCAGATATTCTGCCATCTCCCAAAATTGCCAGTCTTCTCTCTTCTAAAACAGAAGGGGCTTTATCTTCCTAACGATTTTATGTATTTTCATTTACTCTAAGGCAAGAGCCCTATTTTCTTTCTTCTTGTTGTTACTGTAAAAACCTATTTCTAAGATGCTGCTTACCACAGTGTCAGGGGGTGGGCCGGCAGAGTGCATGGTGGGAGCTGGGGTTTGGGAGACCACTTCAGAGATGACAGCAGGAAGGTTAGCGTCTTCAAATTTCTTTTGTAAAAAAAAAAAAAGAAAAAAGAAAAAAAATTATATATATACACACACACACAAATATATACACAATATATTACACTTCATATATACATGTCAGTAATATATACAAAACTATGCCTGCAATGCCATCACATAAATACATTTTTTTAAAGATTTTATTTATCAGAGGAGAGAGAGAGAGAGCACACAAGCAGGGGGAGTGGAAGAGGGAGAAGCAGGCTTTCCGCTGAGCAGGGAGCCTGATGCGGGGCTCGATCCCAGGACCCCAGGATCATGACCTGAGCCAAAGGCAGATGCTTAACTGACTGAGCCACCCAGGCATCCCTAAATACATTTTTTAAGATTTTAAGGAATCTTAAAAAAAAAAAAAAAAGATTTTAAGGAATCTTTACACCCAACATGGGGCCTGAACTCACAAACCAAGATCAAGAGTCACAGGCTCCACCGACTGAGCCAGCCCGGAGCCCCTTAAATAAAATTTTTAATACAGCTTTATTACTATTTATTCTCTTCATCCAAATGGATGCAAAATAACACAAATCTTAAAGGCAATTTTGATTCTACTTCCTCCTCCATAGTTGCAGGTTACACCATCTCTTAATTCCTATTGATATTCATTATTCCAAATGTTCAAAAATCTAATGAGAGTTGCATGGTCTGTTCACACATTTTTTGGTGTACATTTAGGTTTGCAGTTTTCAGCCTTCTTCTTTATAATTAGTTGCTCTGTGTAAGTTCTAACAGTGGTTCTTTTTATTGAGCTGGCTCTAGCCTGACAAATTGCCCTGCCTCTCCAGAGTTGATAGAAATTCATACTGTGGAAAGCAATGAATGAGCATGCTTGCTTTCTGTGGCCTCCCTTGCCTCAATTAGAAATTTGTTACATATTTTTAATTCTGATACAAGGTGTATAATGATGTCCCAGGGTTGCTTTATACCTGGTATATGTTGTGTGGTTTCAGTGTTTTTTCTTAATGTTAAATAGTATATTATTCCAGAATCTTTCTGAAATGATTTATTTTCCTTTAAAAAATATACTAAATCTTTTATGTTCATTTCTCAATTTTTTCCCATTGATCTATAGCTTTGCATTCTGAATCAGAATTGAATTTATCATCATATAAATCAATCCCTATATTTGAGGTCATCTTTCCTAAAAATACTGAAAAATGCTTTTGAAAAATGCTTTTCAGTTTTTCATGTTTTTATACATTTGCTTTAGCTTTTCAAACATATTTTAGAATAATTTTATTGAGTTATATGAAGTGCTATTTTAAGTTAAAAAACTGACTTATAAAACGACTGTAGAGATTTGTCGTGATTCTTTTAAGACACAGAGTCAAACTATCTTAGATGTTTTAATTTCTTCACGTTCTCGTTTTTCTGTTCATCTACTGCTCTTTTCCTTAATGTCTGACGTGTCATACTATTTTCCAATCTGTTACTGATGTACACAGCATGCACAATGGTATCTACAAATGTGGTATCTACAACTAGGGATATCTACAAATGCACAAATATTCCTTTTTCATACTTGTCATTTCTTTTTCATGTGTTGTTATTGATTCTTCATACACCACTAAGCAGAAATGACAATAAAATCAACTTCTTATACTTTTTTTCTAAAGGAAATGCCTCTAGCTTAATTCTGAATATTTGATTCTTGAAGTTAAATATACTCTTTAATACATTAAGGGATTATCTACTTTTTAGAGGTTTTTATTTAAAATATAAAGGCATGTGAAATTTGAAATACATCTTTTATATGGACATAACTGATTGTTCTTCTCTGATACACTACTATGCTATATGGATTTCCCTGATATTAAATAAATCTTGAATTTCTGACAGTGGTAAATAATTACTTTAATAATTCTATATTCTGTTTGTTAAAAATTATACAACTACAGATTTGAGTGACTTTAGTTAATAATGCTATATTAATTGAGTTTTAAGATTAAGACCATCATTACTTGTAGAAGCATCTATGTAGGCCATGTTTTTGAGAACATATTTATGTCACACAGGACTATCTGATGTTCAACATTTAAGAGTCAATTTTAAACTTCTCTTGGAAGCAAAGTTTGAAAACAGTTCTAATCTCTTCAGTTTTTCTTTTGCTTAGGTGTTATGAATTGTGTTTTATATTTTGTTTAAAAAATATTGCACATAGTTGTTTGTAGTAATTTAGTTGCTATCTTGTACTTCTTAGATCTCATTTTAAAAAATTAAGTTTTGGGGACACCTGGGCGGCTCAATCCATTAAGCATCTGCTTTCCACTCAGATCATGATCCCAGGGTCCTGGGATTGAGTGCCCTATCAGGCTCCTTGCTGGGCGGGGAGCCTATTTCTCCCTCTGCCAGCCACCCCCCCCCCCAGAAAATAAATAAAATCTTTTAAAAAATTACTAAAATTAAGTTTTATTGGTAAGATTGCTATTATTTCTGCCAATGTTTTATAAAATGTTAATAACTGTTGATTCTTTCATTTATGTTCTCATTTAAAAATCTAATCACATTTTATTTGTAAGACTTTTTTCTCTTTTACAGTTGTTGGTATCTTATCAAATTTTAGTTATTTCAAATCAAGCAACCACGGGCCAGTTTAGTCTCAGGCTGCGATTTTCATCTACTATACCTGACTGCTACTTTCTTTTGGGTGGTTACTTTATAATAGCTTATTTAAATGTAAAATAATTACTTATTTATAATAATAGCTTTATAATAGCTTAAGTTTGAAATTCAAAATCCAATAAACATTTGGTTAATCAGATTTCTCTTTTCCTCCATTATTGAAGGTATTTATGATATTGTAACTCATGAATACTTATTTGCCTACTTATCAAAGATTTTGATTTGCAAATGTCTTATACTTGATTTTTTAAAATAGTCTCTTCAGAATTTACTTCTTGATTTTAGTGATAGTAGAAGAATGTTTTTAACTTTCTCTTTTTTTTATTTTTTTCAAGCAGGGGAGCAGCAGAGGCAGAGGGAGAAGCAGGCTCCCAGCTGAGTGGGGAGCCCAACACGGGTCTGGATCCCAGGACCCTGAGATCAGAACCTGAGCAGAAGGCAGATGCTTATCTGGCTGAGCCACTCAGGCACCCCTAAAATTCTCTTTTTAAATAGAATTTCTATTTTATTGTGATCAAAGAACATGGAATGCACAGCAGGCACTCCTTTATATTTGAACATTAATTATAAGTCAGAATATGATACTTTTCCTCCAAAGTTCTTGGGACTTTCCCCCAATAATTTTCTACTTTGACCTCTTAACTTACCGTAAGTGGTTATTTCTACTTTGTTCACGACAGACACTAATAAATTTTTCCCTTTGCTAGACTAATTTTCTAAGATTATAATTTTTTTTTTTAAATGGTTATTTTATCTCTAGTCATTTCACTGCTATACATCTTCTTGGGTGGGTATAAATTCAGTTACATTTTCTTTGAATTTCTAAAAGAAAAGCCCTAACATAATATTATAATAATACAGACAGTATGAGGAAGGTGATTAAGGCATGCCCCCACCCCCCAATCTGTTGTTTTGCATCACTCTAACGATATGATTCCACATTCCTGGGCATACTGCTCACTTTATATTCTCCCCTAAATCAGGACTCAGGAGCTTCTCTGTACTGTAATGTTTGTATGGAGGAGGAAAAGGGGAAGGTCATGGAATGGGGTGACTCGTATGTACTGCCTGGGCATCGTACTTTCATAGGGGTCCAGTGAGGACCATGCACTGGTTAGTAATCCCGTCTTTGAAGGGTTTATTGCTTCATCAAGTCCAAAAATGAGCAACTCCAAGGAATCATTATTTCTCCTAGTTGCTACTCATTTTGTTTCTCGACTGATATATTGTCTATGCCATTGTCCACATAAGAACCTTGTAAATAGATAACCCAGATCCCACAAAAAAACGATCTGGAATTATACAAGTTTGGGCACTCCAACAGACTTACAATACGTTTGCATATAAATAAGCTCTAAAAATCCTATAGTAGACCAACCTGCTTACAATTACCCAACATTTCCTGAAATTTCTAGTTAACAAAATTCCCTCTGAGGAACTATCTGTTCTACATAGAGCTAAGTTTCCCTAGGAGGCAATTATGAAAGATGATAAACTGTAGAAATATCAACAGGTAAAGATACTTGAGATGTACTTTTGGGTAAATTCTATTGTAAATTCTCTTTTCCTAAGTATACTTGATAAAGAGTACATGCTCATTGGTTCAATTAGTTACACTGTTGCAAATATCCACTGTGCTGGAACACTATTTCATGATAGGACACACATCTCATGGCCACAATGGGTTGAAGGCCTTTAATTCTGTGACTGTTTCCTCAGCTCCAAAGTCAGATTCTAAGTCACTTTAAATGTAATTTAAGTGTTTCCATTTATTTCTGCCACCCTGCAAGTAAGGAAATAAAACCAGGAGTTTCAGACTTACAAGAGATGCAGAGTTTGGGGAACCAGCGAAGTCCTTAGACAAAGCATCAAGAAGGAAGTCTTCACTCATGGGCTGTAAAAACCAAGAAATGTATCAACAAATGCCCCCTCATTTGTTTCCTCTTCAAAGGATGTCACTATTTATGGCTGATCAGCTTATTAAAAAGAAAGCCATGCGCCCTTCCAGAATTAACAATCAGGGCCAAGTGAGAAAGATACGCTTAGAGAAAATGGGCTTTGCTTACTGGAAGCGATTCCTTGGTCACTTTTGTCAGGAGTGGTTTTCCATCTTTATCCTATTTGGGAGAGAAAAACACAGCAGAGATTCATGTCACTTGATTTATCCTGGGGGACTGATGCCAAGTACGAACCCTTGTAAACACTGTAAGGCGTCTACAGGTTATACCCAATGTTGTACGTTATAAATCAGATTCATCATTTCAGGAAAAAGATTCTCTCACCAGGGAATATGCTCTAATTAGTTCATGTAGACCAACAGCTCACACGTATCAGGCATTCCCCAGGCATGGGGACTACAAAACAAACTGCACGGCTTGTGACATCAGAAGCCCACACCCTAGTGCAGCAGAAACCCAGGTGAGTAGCTGAAGTAGTGTGACGCGAGGTACCGGGTCAGGGCGCTCAGAGGACATGCTGGGAGCACAGGGATGCACCCCTCACCTGCTTGGGGGATGGGCTTTGCCAAAGTTGCCTGAAATCTGGTTAATTTCATAGGCAAGACATTCAACTACTATGCACTGATTCTGTGCGACACCCTGTAGTAAGCACTGAGAATATTACAGAAAGTAGGATAGACAAAATTCTTGCCTATCATCTGAGCTCATCCTTATGGCTCACATGATGCCAAGTCTGAGATGACTCTAAGTGCCACTTCTGAGAAATAGGACAAAGACGTGAAAACATCTGAAGCTGTTTAGTAAAATTTATAAATAAATGGTAAATCCCACTTATCCACATACACACAAATAACTCAGCGCAAGCCTACAGAGATGGGTAGTTGTATATAAGTACATAAGAATATATGTACACTTAGTTGAATATGCTCTTAAGTGGCAGCATCTTTTTTTTCGTGATTTTTTTTATGTTAAGTAGCAGCATCTTATGAAGATAACGGACATGTGTTCTGTCCACGCGTGTGTCCCTAATCGAGTGATTGCGCTTCAACTACAAATACATCATGCAGTCTCCCCACTGTTTCACTTGTTCCGTATGATCTGTACTTTCAAAATGAAAGAAACAGAATAATTATCCTTCTACTTAATGTCAAACAGGCTTTCTTACTTTTCCAATGTATATCTAAGAGTTGCGAATTTTTCTTCCTAGGAAATAATTATTCCTCACTTTAGTTTTCCTAGTTACATAAAGGTTTTCTAAGTTTTTCTTTGTTTCCGGTATTGTAACAAACCATGTATTAAATGGGAAAAAACTAGGCAGCATAGACATTAGATTTTTTTCACTTAAGGGAGGAGTGAAAGGTCACTGAGGAGTATTTTAGCTTCCTACCTGGTATGCCAACAGAGTATTAGCAATCTATGTGGCATCTGAAACATTAAAAAACAAGCTCTTTATATTCCAGGCCTGTTTCCATGTCCCTGCTTTATGTTTACAAAATTCAGTACTAATTAAAATAAAATAGACAAACACCCCAGGCTGTTTACCTTGACCTCTTCTAGTCTATAATCAGGAGGAATGGTTTCTTCTTTTTCACCAAGTTTTTCACGATCCTCTTCTTTGGCTTTCTCCTGCATAAAGATTATACCATTTTCATGATTAACACACCTCCATAAAGTGGATGCCTAAGTGGTTCCATCTGAGGTAAGTAGCTCCACTGTTAGACCAGAACATCCCTACGGCCCAGTGTGTAGAGGTCCCAGAGCAACCTCCGCTTCCTCAGCCTCCCCTACCTCTGCCACCCCCCGATGCCACCCTATCACCTGCCCGGCTGAAGGGCGATGCTGAGGAGGCTGGGAAGCGGCCACTTCCCTCAGGCCTCCTGGGCCCTGCGAATGCACACAACCCGGGCGCAAGGCAGAGAGTATGAGTGCGCTATCCGTCCGCCGCTACAGCAAAACACTGTAGCAGCGATGCTACTCAGGGTTAGATTATTGAACAGGTATGCTCCCTAAGAGATAAAGCCAGCTGGTCAGGTGTTGTAGGGGGGAAAAAAAAATGACTAACTTCCTTGGGGAGTGAAGACCATCAGTAACAGCTCCTTTCTAGAAGTGACTGAGCTGCTATTACCTTCACTTTATCCGCCATGGGCTTTACATCTTCTTGGTCTGCTTCCTTCTTCCCCAGGCTGCCAGCCAAGGCTTCTACCGCATCATCTGGCGCCATGCCTTTCTAAAAGCACATTCGAGGATACACTAAGTAGGTGGTTAATCACTCCTTTTAAAAGAGACTACATCAAACAATTCAGAAGGGCATACCCTTATTTCAGGTCTAGATAAGAAGTACATGTCATCGTTTAATAATTTAATTACCAACTGAATTAGAATCTATGTTTAAGAAACCTACAATGTTAAAAACTGGACCAAGTTTCCTATGCTAAGTAAGCATTAAGTGGGTGTAACATGTATTGACCCTGAACAACTTACATAATCTAAGCCAGTGTCTTGGTGTGAAAACAAGACAATGGAAAGGGTATACCTCAGAGAAGCAGAAAACCAGGAAAGAAGGGATCTTTACGGTGATCATTCTAGAGACAGCACAGGAAAGATGTTCAGAAGGGCCTATGAGAAGACGTTCTTCCCAATGATCTGTGAAATCAGCCTGGCCCCTCCCGGAGGTGGCTCAGGCAGAGTCTCTGCTGAGACACAGAAGCTCACGCTCTTCACGTGGCTTCTACTTGTCAAGGTGGATTCATGCTGATTTGGGTGACTGCCTGTGCCTGACTGACCTGAGTGCCACAATGGGAATGGTCTACCTGGGGTCCCACTGTTCAAAAGGGAATGTGCTCCCTCCTGATGCAGTGAGCTCTGGCCATGCTCGTCTTTAATGAAACTGGGTGAAGACAACATAAATGATATAAAGGGGCTAAAAAATGGGACTTGATCTGACTTCTTCCAAACCCCAGGTCATGATCCATCCATTGATGGTTCATAAAATCAATTCAACAGTTCATGGGCAGGTCTTTTTTTGTTTTTAATGAAAGAATAGAAGATAGAATGCATCATACATAACAAGGATAACTACTATTCATTAAAATGTTATTTCTATTGTATAGATACTGAGTTGAAATATCAATGAATTCCTTATTGCTTTTAGTCAAAAGTATGAAAGCTTCTGAATTAAAAAGTCTTGAAGTTTATTCCTCTAAAACTCTATGACCTTACACAGAGTACATATTTGACTATTAGAGTGAAAGTGTCTTTCTGTTTATATGCCTTAACCATCGATGTAAGTAAGAAAAGTTTTTCTGCTTAGCTGCACTGCAAAAGAGATCACCAATGAGAAAATGGAGTCTGAGTGGAAGGTGATTTATCACCCTCTAGTGGTTGGACGCTGCATAGATTTTATTCCCAGGAGCAACAAAAATCCCTGATTCATCTAACCGGTTTGGGATTCTATCTAAAATGCAAGATGTACAGTGACCAAAGCCTTAACCAAGCAATTGGAACTGCTAGCTTGATCTAAGACACACGCTCACACTTGAGCTCGGTTTTCTCCTACTCTCTGCTGTAGAATCTTTGGAAACAACTACTTCCTGTTAAGCCTGCTCCCCTTGGCTTAAGAAATAAACCAACCTGAGGTAGCAAAGCTAGGAGACAACAGCACTCTTAAGGATGAAGCAAACTGGAAACAGGACTAAGAGCTGAAACTTCAATTTCTGTAGTTATTTCATGTTGTCATATTCACAACTAGAACTCAGGTTTCTGGATTTCCTCAATAAACTTTCTTTTTATACAAACGAGAACCACACAGGGCACACATTCATCTCCTTCCTCTGCCCTTTGTTTCCTTTTGCTCACTAATCCTCAAGCCCTTCTTGGGTCCTCTGACCTTTGTCACACTTCATGGCTATTCATTCTGGCGCCCATGGCTGTCACAATTCCAGAAATGTCAACTAACTTCAGTGACGGTAATCTCAGCAACCGTGGTCACCAGAGCAGATGAAGCAGATGCCCAGAAAAGATGGTCAGAGAATGGAAAAACAGGGCCCTTTTCTGTGCACTAAATAGCCAATTCTCGATGCCCTGCAGTCAGCGTCAGGCAAGAAAGGAAGGTACCCTCGAAGGCCCTGGCCAGCACCCGGGGCATGAGAGGTGGAAGACCCACGTTTAAGTCACAGAGTTCTGCTCTGGAATGTTGGCTACTGTCTTTTTGATTCCACTCACCACCTCTGTTCTCACTTCCTTCACTGTCTCGTCCCACATTCTCTCCTCCTCGCCTAGTCTTGACCACCGTGGCTTGTGGCTTTGTTCCCACAATGTCAAAGTTCTGGGGCGTACCCAGGGACCTCAAAAAGAGGTCGAGTCCTGTGTAAGGCAGGAGTTAGACCTTGGCCTTTGAGGGCATTTTCCCTTGGCACCAAGAATGTCCCTGGCAGGAAGCAGCTGCTTCAGGGCACCCAGGACACACGTCCCACAATCTCTTCATCCCCTTTTCTTGAACAACTAAATGCACTAAACCCAAGTACACCAAATGCTTTACCCCCCCCCCCCCCCCCCGTGCTGGCTTGTCCTTGCCTCACTGTTCTCCCCAGGAAGCCAGCACTATTCCAGCTTCTCAGTAGGATCATTCCCTCCTTTCTGTATTTCCTAATTTCTCCTGGGACCTGGTCCCTTCGGCCAAGTTCCCCCTGCCCTTTTTCCATTTGAGAAAGATCAAAATGTACCATAAAAAGCTTGCTATCTGGCCATACCCACACTAGATGCTAAAGTAACGAAGAGCAGGAGCCTCATCGTTTATATCACCAAGGCTCTCAAAAGTTAAGTGGATTGCTCAAGGTCAACTCAAAGCTTCACTTCCCTCATCTGTAACAGACAGATGATCAGAACCGGGCTCACAATGTCCTTATGAAAGTTTAAGAAGAAGATATTGTCAAGCATCTACAACAAGTTAACTCTTCAGAGTGTAGATTCACTAAGTCTGTAGTAATAAGGCACAGTTCCATCAGCTGTTACGCTGAGTCAGATTCTACCTAACACAAAACCCACTGAATTCAAAAAGAAAGATTCAACTACTTAATTACCATACTTCATACAAAAGTTAGAACCTGAGAGAGTGGCAAGTCAAGAAGAAAATGGAAAGGAATTGAGTGAACCTCCCTTCCGGTGGGAGTGGGGAGAAGTCCTGATGATTCTGGTGCAGATTATTCCACTAGGAGAGTCAACCAAAGATAACATCAGGTTGTTTGTGGATCTCCAAGTAGGCTTGAAGGATGTGGGAGAGTGAAAAAGCATGATTATCCACAACAGCTGAGGAAGCAGAAAGCCCTTCAGAAGGTGAAGGAAAAACACTGTTTGCAGCAGTTTAATTAAAAGCAGATACTATAGCTCTAAAAGATTTTCTTATTTTGTTAGCTTAAATAATCTGCTGGTAATACACAGCAGCAAGTGCATGGGAGGAAGAACATTACGCTCTCAAGACACGGCTCCATGTCCAAAGGATCACTCACCAAGGTGGGTGGCTTGGGTGGTGCCGACTGTATACTACACATGGAAGTCCGAGGCACGGCCTCGCTCACAGGAGTTAGGGCAGCAGCCTGAGATTCCTGTAGAAATAAGGAAGTACGATGAAGGGTTTCTAGAAATACCTGGTTAGTGAGACTGAACAACAACGGACAAACAATACACTCTCCTATGTTACATGCTGCATGATTTTCTTAAATGCTGAAGGACTGCTGAATAGTGAATAAATCAAGGCCATGTTAAAACTCCTCTACCATTATTTCAACTTGGTTTTACCTCTTATCTTAGGTGGCTTACTTATCCTCTCTGAGACTCAGTTTCCACATCTGTAAAATGAGAACAAGGATAGTACCTACATCTCAAGGGTCAACATGAGGCTTTCAATGAGGTAAAACATGTCCAGTGCTTTGCATACTATCTGGGAACACCGTGAGCACAATAAATTAGCAACTATTACTTTCATATAATATATAACAATAATATGCCAATTATATAATGCAGTGTTTTATATAAATACATCCTTTTTGTATACTTAAGAGCACCTTATTGTGAATAGGTATGTACAAATGTAAGGAAGTAATACTACCCCAGGGGTTCTCAAAGTATGGTCCCCGGAACAGCAGCAATCAGGGAAACTGTGACAAATGCAAACTCTGGGGCCCCCACCCCAACTACTACGGAAATTCTGGAGGTGGGGACCAGCAATCTGTGTTTTAACAAACACTCAGGTGATCTTGGTACTAAAATTTGAGAACCACTGTGCTATCTGAGCACAAGAGTAAAATTTCAAACAAACTGGTTTTAATCCAGGCACTTACAAAAGCTTATCCTATGGGTAAGGTGCTCAGTAGATGATCATTAACAGGATACTATCTCTTCTTCCAAGGAACTTACTGTTTACTTAAAACTATGTATACATGTCAAGAGGTGAAGACCAAGACAGCTAAAACCTTGCTTGTAATAAATATCTCAACACGGATATAGAAAGAACAGCAGAGCCCCGGGTGTGCTGCATTCTGTTTAGAAAGGTTTGGAAGAGTGGTAAGGTTTGGGAGGGAAAAACAGGAGACAAACGCTATATTTTAGCAGAGCTTTAAAGGCATGACTGACATTTTAGATGATCGTGAATTAGGAAGGAAGGTTATTACACAAAGAAGGACCACATGAGAAAAGCCAAGGCCTCACACACATAAGCACTTACTGGCACAGTTTAGTAATGGGAGGACACACCTTGGTAGGGAAGGAAGCTGGGGCCAGGACACATTAGCAGGGACTTTTATTTTGTGGGCAACGGGGAGCTCTTGAGGGTTGGAGCAGGGGAATGATGTGGCTACCAACACACTTGCTTGGGAAACACTATTTCTGGCGGACATATGGGAGGGACTGAAATGAGACTGATGACAGAGGCCCCTGCCACCATGAGTTTCAGAAGGAGGAACAGAAAGGAAAGCATGGGTGTGAATGCTTTCCTGAAGGAATAATTATAGGACTTCAATTATAAGAATATCAGGGTCGGTTTGGGAAAAGAAAGCACATCTAGAGAACGTCAAGATGAAAACTGCCTGTAGGGATGCCTGGGTGGCTCAGTCGGTTAGGCATCTGCTTTCAGCTCAGGTCATGATCCCAGGGTCCTGGGATCGAGTCCCGCCTCGGGCTCCTTGCTCAGTGGGGAGCCTGCTTCTTCCTCTGCCTGCTTCTCCCCCTTCTCCCTCTGACTAATAAATAAAATCCTTAAAAAAGAAAAGAAAACTGCCTATAAAAAGATGGTACAAATGGTTTCCATCAACTCCTTCATGCTAAAATCGTTTAGGCCTCACATTTTTAAGATTATAGACATATTTTTTAAAAACCACAGAATTAGAGATGTATTTTTAGAAACATACTTCTGTTTTTTCAGATGGCTTAGATTGTTTTCCTTTACTTTTAGGCTGGTTAAAATCTTCTGAAAGTTCATCAATGAGTTCTGATTCACTCAGAGGCTGTAACAGAAGAAACACTACATTATGAGGGGACTAATTTTTTTTGTTAAAAACAAGCTTTTCATAGGGAATTTTTTTTGTTAACACATATTAGGCCATATTTTAGGATCTAAAACCAAAATTTATATTGGGGATATTTTTTAATTTATCAATGTAAGACAAATGTCATGCAATAACTAAGGAATACTGGACACCTGAGTACCACAGGAGTGTTCATGATCCATTTAGTCAAAAGTTTTCCTGATCCTTCAATTTCCGAAGGATTTTGTTCAAATAAAACTGCCTATTCTTTCCAATGAAGATCTTTCTTAGGTGATTGTTTTTACTATTTCCTAATGACTTCCTTCTGAATAGCTCAGGAAACACAGATCACATACTCCTTTCCTATGACTATGTGGGATTTGGGCAGGAAAGTTCTCCTATCCTTAGTTCCCTCAGATGAAATTCATTTAGAGCATGTGGAAATTTTGACTAATACCAGTCATCTATAATAGAACTGCATGTTGATTGAGAAGCTGTGCCTCTGTGTTGGAAAGTCTGAGTTTTGGGTCCTGGCTTTGCTCTTTTCTAGCTGTGTAACCTTGGGCTAGTCACATAACTTCTCTGGCTCTGTTTCCTCACATGTAAAACGGGAACGATAAGAGTGCCCTCTTCATTTGGTGAGGACCCAACAAGGTAACACATGAAAGGCATCCGGTGCAGTGTCAGACACATCATAAGTGATTAATAAATGTTGCTGCTTATTATATGCTAACAGGCAACTATACGGCTTGACCCCCAACTTAAGTGAAGGCAGCGTAGAATCAGAGTAACTGATGTCATGATGCCAATCAAACTCTGAGGTGTGAACAATCTATTTTGAGGCCCTCTTGACACCAGCTCCTAATGTCCGGTGAATGTCACCTAGAAACCCGTAGCACTCCAGTAATCATTCATGAGGGGAATCCTCATTAAAATACGTGAAAAGGAATCAGAAACATGAGCCAAGTGTTGCCATCACAAGCTCCCCTTTCTTCAATACTAGGTTGGCATTCAAGTCTCCACAGCGAAATCCTGTCAAAATTATCGCAACTTAATACTTAACAGTTCTTTTGTTCTTTAATTATCAGAAGAATCACTTCCTAACCTTGGATTTTTCTTCATGCTCTGGCAATAGTGGTTTTCCATCTTTATCCTGAAAATAAAATAGAAAATTCACTGAAAATGAAATAGAATACTTTGTTTTCATGGCCCATTAAGTTTGTTTTATTAGGGAAGGATATGAGATTTTTTTTTTCTTATATTTGAGTGATTTGTTTTTGAGTAAATTTCTTATACTTCAGTGAAAAAATTTTTCAGGGTTCTTTTTTTTTCTTATTATCAAGTATCAGAATAAAGAGCTGAACTCTAAAAAAAAAAAAAAAAAATCTCTGTTCTCCAACCCAGGGTGAAGAGGTAGATCTCATTCACACAATTCTGTTTTCATTTTCTAGAGATGAGTTTCATAACCCAGAATATTTCTAAAACTGAGAAATCTCCCAAATATAAGCACATACGAGAACTGAAGCATTTTCCACCATGTATTTCTGTGTATTTTTTCAAAGATAAATTACAAATATAACTACAGAAGTTAGTCCACCATCCTCACTTTAAGCCAAAACCAACAATAAAACCGCCTTAACTGAGAATACTGGTAAACAGTCGTACATTTATGTCTACCCCTTAGAAGAGCTATGCTGCTTTTATCCACACAGCAGTTACAGAAAAAAATTATTCCCAAATTGTTCCTTGTGCTTTAAGGTTAAGGACCTATGTCGTGCATCATTAAGAGCTGTAACATGTAAATTAGTGGGAATTTTAATGACCACATGGTTACCACTTAGGAAACCATTCCTTAACTAACTTTAGAAAAGAAAGGGTTCAGGGTTTTCCATTAGTATATGAACTGGGACAGAAAGGTCCTTAAGAGTCCTGGGGACAGACCCAACAAAACATAATGTGAAGGCAAGGGGAGGATATTGTTAGGCACCGCGGCTAACAACGTACCGTGGCTGGTTTTAATCTGTACTCTGATGGGATGGTTTCCTCGTCTTCACCACACTTCTTTAGTTTCTCTTCTTTGGCTTTTGCCTGATCAAAGTGGAAGGCGGAAATAAAACACGTAACAGTTTGGCAATGCAGATAAGAGGATATCACTTTATGTACTTCATGAGTGGTGTAGCGAAATCGGATTCCAGTGTGTCTATGTGCTTTGTAGACAGCAGAGCACAAGACTATGCTAAGTGCTGGTTCTGAGGAAGGCAGCATTAAGTGACGGAGAAAAAAAACGACACGGCCAGGAGTCCTGGAGAGGTGTCCCTGCCCTGCTCTCAGCTGCTCTCTGACCTTGCGAAGCCACTCAGTCTTTCTTCAGCTGTTACATGGGGCTACTGATTAACTTTTATCTAGTTCACGGACTTGGAAGGATCACTAAGGAAAAGTAAAGAAAATATCGTTTGAGACAGTTAAGCACAGTGCAGAAGTTAGTTGTCATTATTTTAGTAGCTTTCCTCTGTCTTACTCAACGAGGTGGTTATCTGCAGGGGGAGAAAACAACTAGTTCCCATGAACGTTAAACACAGTTCAGAAATGGGAGAAGCATCTCATCACAAATCTTGGCTGATCCATGGATAATTCATTTGGCCTCTTTTGAAAGGACTCCCTTTTTAAATTTTTTTTTCTTTTAATTTCAGTGTAATTAACACACAGGGTTACAGTAGTTTCAGGTGTACAATATAGTGATTCAACAATTCTAGACATTACCTGGTGCTCATTGTGATACGTGTGCTCTTAATGCCCTCCACCTGTTTCACCCATCCCCCGCCCACCTCCCCTCTGGTAACCCTCAGTTAGTTCTCTACAGGTAAAGAGCCCGTTTCTTGGTTTGTTGCTCTTTTTGTTTGTTTGCCTGCTTGTTTTGTTTCTTATATTCCACATGAGTGAAATCATATAGTATTTGTCTTTCTCTTTGACTGATTTCCCTAAGGTTTATACTCTCTAGCTCCATCCGTGTTGTTGCAAATGGCAAGATTTCATTCCTTTTAATGGTTGAGTAACATTCCATTGTATGTATATACCTCAACTTCTTTATCCATTCCTCTACTGATGGACACTTGGGCTGCTTCCATAATTTGGCAATTATAAATAATGCTGCAATAAAAAAAGAACTCCCTTCAATAACACTAGGGCTTTACTGGATTACTGAACCATGAAAAACCAACAGCATTAAGAGATGAAACTGTACTTCTATAGATTACTGGCTTCGAGGATATAACACTTCCATTTTAAACTACTAGTGCCTGATGGCAAGTTCCATGATATGTAATAATTGGTACCTATATCAAGGCATAGATTTAACAAAACAAGGAACTCCTGGGCACAAAGGGGAATATCACTTAGCAAATTCCAGCTCAACCCACCTCTCACTTCAACCTAAAACTGTAGTTCTCCACTGAATCAGTTGATTAATTTTAAAAATATTAAGCACTTTTAGTGAGCCAAGCACTCTTCTAGGCTTTAGAATTACAGTTTTATTCTATAAATTAACAATTCTCATTAAGGAATGAAAGGTTTTGTTTTTGTTTTTTTAATAATTCTAATTCTAGGGCGCCTGGGTAGCTCAGTCGGTTAAGCAACTGCCTTCGGCTCAGGTCATGATTCCAGGGTCCCGGGATCGAGTCCCACATCGGGCTCCCTGCTCAGCAGAGAGCCTGCTTCTCCCTCTCCCTCTGCCTACTTTGTGCTCTCTCTCTCTGTGTCAAATAAATAAATAAAATCTTTAAAAAAAATATATTTCTAATTCTCTTCTACTGCAGCATATGGAGGGAGTCCTACTATGTAGTGGTACTCCCCAACTCAAGAGCTTTGTGAGGTTTCCACCTAGAAAAGAGCCTTCGTGAAAGTCAAGGGTCACCTGTGTAAGACTGTCTTCTCCAGGCTCGTGGACTATGAGGATCTGGGCACAGTGAGATCCTTTCTATTCCTGTTTGATCTTTATATTCTTTAAATGCCGGCACTGTAGGCACGTCTACTGATTTCAAAGCACCAGATTAGGTAACTATACACAGAAATGGGGAAGATGAATCAGGTATCATTATGAAATATTTATTTTCTGTTATGTAAGAATGATCAGTAGGCATGGATGTCTTCTCTGAAGCATTACGTAGTTTTTCTGCAGAGACCTCTCTAGTATGGAATGTACTGGAGTGGCTCTGGACTCCTATAGGATACTCAACTTTATAAGGCTTATCAAAACATCAGACTATCCAGAAAGTAATACATTCACCACCAGGCACTAAAAATTTAGCTTAAGAATCCACAGGACTAGAAGATCTTAGGAACTATTTATACTTTGTACATAATTAAAAAGGAAAACTAGTGGAAAACAGCAGAAAAGAAAGTGGAAACTAGTATAAAGGGCAGAAAGAACAGTTCTTTCAGTTAAAATTTTAGGAGTTGACTGCTGTGGAGGTTTTCTAGAAGAAATCTAATACATTTATACGCATTCCAAAACTACATACCCCAACTGCTTAAGAAGTCATTTTTATGTAGCATTTTTTACTTCTCCTGATCTGATTTTAGTTACTCTAAGACTCTGTCCTGAGATTTATGTGTATACCTTTCCACCCCAAATTGCTGTCTTACTAAATCACACCAATTCTCTGTAAAAAGCCTGAAGCAAAAGTGCAAGGGACTCACTGCTCTGTAGCTCTCTGGGGGCAGAACGGCACAATTCCACCTGGTCTGAACCCAACCCCCCCACCCCCGGGGTTCGGCCAGGACTGCCCTCTCCAAGACACCTGGTCTAGGTGGCTGCTCTAATTAGCGTGCGTCTCGCATTATGTCTTTATGAAAGTTCCCTTTCTTCTCAATACATTACTTGGTCCTGGAGGACAAGGACTGCTTCCCCCGCTCCCTTGTGTTCGCCTTCACAAAGCTCGTCATGCCACACTGAGCCCGGTAAGCCCTCAAAGAAAGCTGAAGATAGAAACTGGCCCATTTCGGACCAGAGCCGTCCCAGACTCAGGGAGAGTTGCCGGGGGTCGGCAGACTCACCCTCCTCAGCGATTCAGAACAGGAAGTGACAGCAGAGGCAACAGCACTGTGACAGCGACACCTGTCAGCTCCCCTCCCTGCGCTGATAGGCTGGTGCTCCTGAGGGTCCCCGGGCCGTACTTCCATGCCCCCCAGCCACGCTGCCTTGTTGGCAATGCCCGCAGGCAACTCCCTCTTTTCCCTCCTCTTTCACCCCACATGACTCAGTTGAAAAATTCTTTACAAACTGTAATTTAATGTTAGAACTCTTCTCCACCAAATATAAGCTTGCTTTGGCTCAGAAGACCTGTTAAGATGTTCGAGTGTGGTGGGATAAATACCCCCAGCATCACACTCTAAGCATACAGGAACTCCAGTTATAGAGTTAATTGTTGCTTGATTTCATTCTAATTTGAGACAAATTTTTCAACATTTTTCTCCACAGTTATAAAAAGAAGGCTCTCCCTATCCCATCTACAGCTTTCTCCTTCTTTCCTTATGAAGAGAAGCACCTGGTACGCTTCTGAAAATATACATTTCCACGTCCACAAGAGCAGACAAACCTATTTCTCACCAAGCCACTGCCTCTATGTTATCTTGTTTCATCAGGCGTCACTGAAGCACTGGCAAGAGAGACTGGCATTCACTTTAAATATTAAAATTCTAGATGGTTTATAAGGCTAACTCTCAACTACGCTTCTTGGTTGCTAACTACCCAGGAATGGAGATCTGAGTTAACCAGACTCTGAAAGTAAGACAGAATGAAGAGTAGTTTGTTTTTAATGTCCAATAAAGAAAAGCTGTGTGAGAATTCTAAACACGCATAACTGCATTTAGTTTCATAACCTGCAGACTGACAAGCTTTGTCTATGAACTCCAAGGTCAGTACCTCGTCGACTTCCTTAACGGAGCTGAGGTCGAGCTCAGGTTCTGGCTTCCGGCTGCCCAGCGAAGCTGAAAGAGCCTCCAGTGCTTGATCGCTCATTGTGTCCTGCTAAAAAGGAAAAATTCTGTGCATTAAAAAAGAGAACATCTCCTCAGCCTGAACAATCTAGCCACTACTTCGTGAAATCCTAATTTCAAATTTAGGAGTCGTGGATTAGGGAAGGACTTTTGGCAGCCAATTTTATCTGAAACCTAGCAAAAGAGAGAAAAGGGAAAAGTAGTTACCAGTGAGAGAAACTGGGGCTGAGACACTTCTAGAGTGTCTTACACGGTGTGTACCCTCACAGGTACACTTCACCCCTTATTTAGCAAGCTATAACTATAATATTATAAAATACTTGTATCAAAAGAAAAGCTGCAAGAAGTAAACTTTCACTTTTCTGGTGTTCTTTTTTTAAAAAAATGTGTCTCTAAAAATAATTTCTGACAACGCTGTCCCTCAGCAAACTAGCTAAGCCCAGGAAGCTGGGAAAGCTGGAGTGGCCCTGGCAGCTTTCTCTGAAGGCACAATGGCTGATGGCTGTAGGAACTCCTACTCTCAGGGTGTGGTGCTCTCACTGCTGCGCTGAGCCCACCAGATAAAAATAAACTGTGCCCTCCAGGAAGGGAGAGGCAGAGCGGATCCAACAGACACTGCTCCCCTGCAGGATCTGCACTGTCTGCAGATGGAGCCTGTTTTCTCATCCAGCCTAGAGCTGCAGGACCACCGTGCAAGCTTTGTGACGATTAAGTGATCATGGTTCAGAGAAGTGAACAGAAGCAGCTAGGACAACATCCACTAGTGACTCACAGGTCAAACTCCATTAAAAAAATCAGGGTGACGATTTATGTTCCGAGAGTGCAAATTTTTTGGTGTCTTGTCGTTCTGTGTTTTTTAATGGTGAGAGACTCTTGTTTCACAACCAAGAAAACTGTGCTGAAATCATGAACAGCATTTGTAGAAAACACCGAAGGCCTGCCTGGAGATAATCAATAGAACCCTGATTGGATTCACTAGTCCACACAGAGCTCCCCTAATCATGAATAATGCTCTACTGGGATTATCCTGAATCAGCTAGATCAGGCTCAGGGAAGCTACGGCTGTCAGATGGACCACGGTTATCTCCCAAGAAATTATTATTTATACCTCCTCCAACTTTCTTTTCTTCTCTTGGGGTGAAGCAGCACTTTTGATTACCGTGGCTGGCTGAGCTTTTAAAACCTCTTCTGTGGATTTCTGAAAGGTAAAGCACAAATGATTAGACTTATAGGGGAAAGAAGGGTCACTGTAATAACCAGAACTAAAAAGAAGTTGTTTTAAAGTTTTATATGGTTTCTAACAAGCTCTCCCCCCCGCCCCCCGCCGCCGATTATTTTGAAAACAATACCTCTTCCTTAGTTTTCTTTCCACCAGGGGTAGGAGAAGTGCAGGTGAAGTCAGACGACAAAGCATCTATGGCATCACTGGGCCCCATGGGTTTCTAAAGAAACAGGCACCACGATGGGGAACAGATGAGAGCCATTCAAGTTAAGGATCACAATATAAACTCAGCAAATGAAGAAGGACTTGACATTCCCTTACTACCAAATGAAATACGTTATCAAGTGACTCAGATGAAAGCCTATGTTTGGAAGGGAATGGCTGCTCCCTAGTTTCCCGTTTCCCTCTTTTAAATGGATTCCATGTTAGGATATTCTCATTCTATTTTTATTAACATTTATTTTACCCTACAACTTTCTTGGCTCCATTCTTATTCCCTTCAAAAAAAATTACGTAGGAAACCATGAGCACTGAAACAACCCCCATGTCCATCCCTTCCTCGGAAGAGATGAAAACTTAATCTGATTTAGAGATGAGCCATAGACACAATATAGAGAATCATGCCCTATCCCCCAACTCAAGATTTTTTTTTTAAGATTTATTTATCTGAGAGGGAGAGGCAGAGTGAACCCAAGTGAGGGGAGGGCTAGAGGGAGAGAGAATCTCAAGCAGACTCCCTGCTGAGCACACAGCCTCATGACCCTGAGATCATGACCTGAGGCGAAACCAAGAGTTGGACACTTAACTGACTGAGCCACCCAGGCGCCCCCCCCACAACTAAAGATTTAAAAAAAGGTTAACTTGGATCTTAGAAGACATTTATGTAAACTCACCGAAGAGTCTGGAGGAGGCTCTGTGATACCTTCTTTTTTCTGAAACAAACATTAATTTGATCATGTTAAGAGCCCAAAATTAATTTTTACAACTGGCAAAGTGTACTGCTCAGTGAGTGTTATGCGTTGAATTGTGTCTTCCCAAAAGTCATATTGTTGGAAGTCCTAAACCCCTAGTACTCCAGCATATGGAGACTGGGCCTTTAAAGAGGCAATTTAGGTTAAATGAGGACATTAAGATGGGCACCGCTGTCCTTATAGAAGTGGGGAAATGTGGACCCAGAGATGCAGAGAGAAGATGGCCATGTACAAACCAAGGAGGGAGGCCTCAGCTCCCCCCACCCGACACCCACGCTGCCCACACCCGTTCCAGTCTTCTAGCCTCCCGGACTATAAGATAATGTATTTCTATGGTACAAGCCATCCAGTCTGTGGACTGAGTTATGGCAGCCCCAGCAAACAAGACATACTGGGAGTAACAATTTCTCATGCCCCATTTTATTTTCTAAATTTAAAAAATGTGAATATATTGATGGGATAAAGGTTATGTTCCAAAAAGCAAACAGTAAAGTAAAAGTAAATGATTATTTAACTTACTGCCAAAAGTTCCCTGTATTTTGGAGGAAGCGTGACTTCTCTTTTACCTAATTCCTCTATGTAGGTAGAAGTCATTGGATCCTGGAATAAAAACCACACACAGGGATATTATATAATTAATTAGCTGAGAATGTTATATGCATATTCAGCAACCAAAGTACTGTTCCCATCAGCAGTTTATGGAGCTACTGAAATGTAAACCATTAAAAAGCCAATGCTTTACACAACAATGAAATTCTAAGTTTATACAACACTTTATTTAATTAGCTTAACCCCTATGTAATACTAGAAAATATTCAAACCACAATTTTAGAATCTTACATTAAAATACATTTTATTTTAAAATGTTTTTCATTGTCTATTTCCAAAACATACAAAAGTATAGTTAATAAAAAAACTCTCTATAGCCTAATACCCAAGTCTTTCAGATGTAATTTCTAAGAAAAAAAGGATCAGCTAACGTATCCTGTTTAACTCTCTACAATCTCACTCATCTTCCTTGTTGGCCAGAGACAGTCACCATCCAGAACTTTATTATATCTACTGACTCAAAACTGAGCACATTTTAAAACAATTATTCCCTATGTAGGTATCCACAAACAATATACAGCATTACTTTGCATATTTTTTTTTATTGAAAAAATATAGAATGCTTTATAAATTTGCGTGTCATCCTTGCAGAGGGGCCATGCTAATCTTCTCTGTGTCATTCCAATTTTAGCATATGTGCTGCTACGGAGGACTATTTGCATACTTTCAAATGTTATATAAATGGCATCATATTCTAGATATCATTCCGCATTTCTATTCAAAATTACGTTTTTGTAATGTATCCATGTTGATACATGAATAATTCATTTTAGCCACTATGAAGTGTTCCATTATGTTATCTTGTCTGCTGTTGATCAAAATCCTTTCCAAATGTTCCATCTGTTCTTGTAACTTCTGGTACATACGGGCAAGGCTCCCTCCAGGGAACCTCTCGAGATGGAACTGCCAGCTGAAGGGTAAGCACATCTTCAATATCCACAAGCCCTACACGAGCTGTCAGACTTCTGCACTTGGGCCAATCTGATGAGTGTGCAATGTTCTCTCCATATCCTACTATCATTTCTCTACTTACTAGAGAATTTTATTGATTTATTAGCCAAACAAGTTTTCTCCTATTTTTCTATTGGGCTGTCTTTTTCATTTAAAAATTCTTCATAAATTCTAGAAACAAATCCTTTGTCATGTCTGTTGCAAGTATTTTCCTCTGGTCTATGGCATGTCTTTTTAATCTTTTTAATATCAAGGGATATGCAATCTTTCTGCTTTTTAGGAGTTAGGAATGCAGATGGGCTGAGGGTGGTAAATTTTTAGAAGTCAAAATAAGGTCAAGTCATAGGATGGGAAGTGTCCGAAAATCAAAAGAACTTCAAGTCCAATAAACTTAAATCTCAAGGACAGAAAAATCTTTGTGACCTGGTAAGGTGTATCCCAGCGCCAGTCATAACATGGACAATCAATAAATGTTTGCTGAACGAATGTAATAGTATAGTTGCCACAGGACAAACCATTTCTATTCCCAACACTAATTTTTAGTTGCTATTATTGATAGTGACACCATCCTGATTCTCTCCAAGCCACAGAACATTAGCTATTTGGTGCCCCATGACCATGAACTTATTTGCTTTCCTACCCATTAAGTATGCATCTTTACAGATATCAAAATCACATACTGAAATTTCAGGTCCAGTATACACTGTGTTATCTTCTTCAGTTTCTTCAGGTCCTCCTAGGGTGTCTACTAAGTCATCCAAAGCAGAGTCCATGTCTGACTAGAAAAGAAAGAGAGTAGGTATTTAAATGTTATTTGTAATACATATTTCACCTCTGATTTAAAAAAAAAAAAAACAGAAATAAGAAAAAAAAAATTCTGTACAGAAAAACACCAAACATCAAAAGTTCTTCAAACATCAAAATAGTTAAAATCTGGTCTCTAATACTTTATTATATAAGGTCCCAGAATACACATTCTAGGTTAGAAGGACAGAAAGCCACGTTCAAGTAAGAATCACAACTTCAGGGGTACCTGGGTGGTGGCTCAGTTGGTTGGGTATCTGACTCTTGATTTTGGCTCAGGTCTTGATCTCAGGGTTATGGGATCAAGCCCTGCATAAGGCTCCACCCTGGGCAGAAGCCTGTTTAAGATTCTCTCTCCCCCTCTCCCTCTGCCCCTTACCCCCTTAAAAAAAAAAAAATCACAACTTCAGTAAATCTAATGGCATTAACTACATGAACAAATGGATGGTTGTTAAAGCTGCCAGTCCAATGTAATGACAGTTAAAAAAAAAAAATGAATGATCATGTTACTGTATGCAATGGGAGAAATAGCTTGGTATTTATTGCTTATCAGTAGTTTTCCTACTTATCAGTTTTTTGAGTTACATATTGACAAAGAACTCCAGCAAAATCTCTATATAGCACCTCTTCCAAATAGAGTATTTCAAAAATGGATTGCCTGTGTTCTTTCATTCATTTGTGGTTTTTTGGTCTCTTGCTTGCCTGAAGATGTTTACAAACCAAATTACCCGAAAGGAATGTTAAGCTTACAAGAAGTGACAATTTACTCTGTCAATATGGACTTTAATCAGTAATAATGAATGAAAGAGTGCCTCCATCCTATCTCTGAAGTTAAAAATGATTCAGTGTGAAACGTATGCTGCATTTAAAAGGGAAAACAAGAATTCTGGGAAAGACCCTTTATTTACTTAAGTAAGATTAAAAATGATTAATTTTTTTTCCCTTCAACTACCATATTCCCACTACAATTTTAGGAACTCACCTGATCATGTCATACAATTTGGGACCTCTTAGCTTTAAACCCATTCATTTGAGAATTTCAGAATGAAGTGCCTTATACTCTTTAGTGACACCTCTGGTTAAAGAAGTTATATTTCCAAAAGAGAAACTGGAATGTAAACTCCACAGGATGTAATGAGTTTTCAGAACAGAGGGTTACAATAAAAAATGTTACAAACATACCCGGGAAAAAAAAAAAATCACACTTTTATCTTATAGCGATAATTCATTAAAAAGGTCTTTAGGTTAATCCCACCTCATATGGTTTGCCCTTGAAAAAAATCAGATCAAGAATAACTATAGAGACCATGAATAAGTAAGTATCTGATGTAGAAATGCACTGCTATCTTCATACCTTTCCAGATGGTTTACCCGGTTTGGATTCAACTGGTACAGCCGACGTTAATGATTTCTTTTCTTTTTTCTGGTGAGGTTTTAGAAAGAAATAAAAACTCCTTCTCACATATCTTTATTCAATAATTTAACAAATTCAAATTGAATGATTAAATAAAATTCAATGATATTACATATTTAAAAATAAGTTCATTAAAATATTAACAGCATTGATCATATACTGAACACCTGCTCTGAGCCAGGTAACATGTTGTATGCGTCCTATCCTCCATCAGGACAGCGTTAAATAACATTAATTTCATTTAGTGATAAGGACAGCAAGACTCAGAGAGGTTAAGTAATTTTTCCCAGGTCACACAGTAAAGGAAAGACCAAGGCTTGAATCTAGAACTGCATCTCTTTCTTCGTGGCTCTTGGTTGCCTCCCCCAGGATCCAGTCAGTCTGCAGCGCTCAGGACTTTTTTTCTCTAAGCGGCCACTTCTCCCTGTTGCTCTTTCAATCTCTTACTGCTCACAGTAAGACCTTCACACTCCCGGCTTTAGCATTTCATTATCCACTCCTTTCTTAATCTCCCTACAATGAATTTCCTTCCCAGCAGTGTTTCAGTTGCTCTTTCAAAGACTGCCAACAACCCTCCGATCTGCAATCTCCATGCCTCCCCGGGGCAGAATCGTCTCTGAAGTCTGACCTCAGTAAGCAACCTTCTCCCAATCATCCCGGTCCTCCCCTGGCATCTGTGCCGTCCAGTCTCTGCCATCTCTTCCGCTTTGCCCCCAGCCCTACCCACTGTGCATGTTTCTGCCCAGCACTGGGGGGTCTTAAGTGAAATCATTCTCTGGGGCCAGGGCTGAGCGCTTGCGGGGACCAGCAGGAACTAGACGGGTGAAGGGGTCAGGCTGAAAATAACAGGACACTATCGCCCGTGGAGGTCTCTGGAACACAGGCAGCAGAGCTTGGGGGCGGAGAGCACACCAGCTCCCACGCGCTGGCTGCATGAGTCATCCGGCAGGTCACCTTTTCTGTAGCTCAGTATCGTCATGTGTGACAGGGACTGCACCTACCTCGGGGCCTTGTGAGGACTGGATAAACTCAGTTACTGAAGTGTGGAAGCCAGTGTTTGGTACATGCTAAGCACCACCTAGGTACTTGTTGTCTGACTAAGTGCTAAGTAAGTGATGACTGCAACTGTTAAAAACACTGTGGGGGCCAGCAGGGTGAGAGGCTGAGTCTGGGCAACTGAATCCCCTTCCAGGATTCGACCACAACCTTATGCAGATGTTCATTCGTATTTGTTCTCCCCTCCTCCCTACCCCGCCCCCCAGCCTTCTGCTCACTCTCTCCATTCTCCTGTAGTTCAAAACAACATTCACTCCAATTGCCTCTCTACACACCTCTCTCCAACATTCCACATCAGCCTATCCACTTTGCATGCTCAACCTTCTGACTCCGTCCACCAGTAGTGGTAACCAGGGACCAGCTCGAAATTTAGGGAGGCGCTCACTCTCAGCATCCGAGCGGGCCCTGTGCTTGCAGGAACCTGACAGCAACCCCCCTGCCTCACCTTAGGGTTACCTATCCTAGTTCATCCAGACCCTGACGCCCCAGGTTATCTCAGAGTTGACGTGACCATTGCCCACTGCAGGCAATCGTTTTCTAAAACCCAAAGATTTTCCCTTGGCAATGCCTCCTGCATTCCTCCCCACTATCTCATTCTACGCTAGCTCTAAGTTACACTAAATTAGGACTCATCAGGACTAGGGCACAGTCCTTGACCAGGCTTGCGATCTCTGTTCCCATTTCATCCACCCACTGCGGTCGCCCAGCCCTGCAGCTGGGTGCACTCACATCACTTGTCTGCTCTCTAACCTTCAACGCTGAATAGCTACCACCCCTGTAAACTCCTCTCAGCATTCCGCGCAGCTGTGCCCGGACCCGTCTTTCTGGTCTTACATTCCCACCGCGCACCTCCCCGGTGCCCCAGCCACGGTCGCACGTGCTTTGTACCCAGAACACATCTCACACTTTTCCACTCTGATGCATCTGCAAGCCTGCCACCCTAGCTATCCCTTCGTGCCCAACTCAAACTGGATCTACTCAGAGTGCCGTGGATTCCTGAAAACTGACAGAATCCCTTGGCTCCTCAACTCAACAGCTCCTTATAGGGACCTGTCTTAATCTGCCTTGGAATGCAGTCCCTGGAGACTCCATCTTCTTCCCACCCCTGGACGGGCTAGCCTGCAGCTAGGGAGTCCTGCGGTCACACCACAGTGCTTTCAATGTGGTACGTACCACCCCTCCTCCCCAAAAGGAAGATCTGATCAATCCCATTTTATGGGAGACGAATCAGAGATAAAAGCAAAATGCTTTGCCCCAAGTTCGAGCGCAGGTCAACGCACTCCAGACTTCCACATAAGCCTCTTATTTTACTGTTTAGCTTTCCTTTTTCCCTGGCTACTTTATACCTAGCACAAAATTCCAGAATGATTACAGTTTTAAGTCTTTTTGAACAAATCTAATCCTGTCTTAAATCTATCCATTTTTCAAGCCATTTCATCTAAGTACCCCTCATCAACACCACACAGTAACGTGTATCCCCAGAGTGGGGACAGGGGTGCGAGTCTCAAGGTCATGTTCAAGTGGTCTGCTGGAAGAAAACACATTTTTTTAAAATTTGAGTATTTTCACTTAAACGTTCATGTAAGTTTTGCTATCACTCCAAACAATATCTGCATTAGTTTGGACACAAACTAATGTGCCTCTTCCTTTTCAAGATCTGAGAAAAACTGATCTTTCCAGGAGAGGTGCAGTACTTTTATACTATGACTTTCCTCACCATCTAGCCTGCAGGGGGATAACTTTCCCATTTTGAAAAGCAGGAAAACAGATAAATACACATGACTTAAAAAAAAAAAAAAAGTTTCATCTCCATCTTCTTATTTTCTTATTCCAGAGAGATAGGTAGCATTTCTAGGGAGACATGGCCTCTAAACCGATTACTGACTCTGCATTGCTATGGGTACAAACAGTAGACTACTTCCCATCTTACATTTCCAGGCTAGTATCTGAAAGAGCTCCTCAAATGATCTAAGGAAGACTCGCCCATCATTAGTCAGAGGGACACACATCCTCTCTCTTGGGAGGGCTGGAACGTCTCCTTCCAAAACTTCCCCCATCAACTCATGGAGAAGTCCAGACTGTTGGTGACTTACTCCTACCAAGATAGATGCTGTCCATGGTGAAAGCTGAGAGAAGTGCTTTTTCAAATATAGCAATTTTATTTGCTTTATTTCAAACCTATAAATCTTGAAAGCAGGATCTGAGTCAACTCACATTTTAATTTTCTTGGTACTGATACCACGCCTTATACATGGCAAGTGTTCAATAAGTATTTATTGAATATATGAATTCTTAAATCAGTTTTGCTATCCTGCTCATTCTATATCCTTTAGATGCGTGCTCTTCTTCATTAAATTTCACATAAGAACAGTGTTCGATTTTCCCAAATACCGGTTATTTGAGTGTGGCAGCACCACAACCCTGAATTGTCCCTGAAAAGCAGACATAAAGCCCAGGGGTCTGGAAGGGGTCTTCAGCAAGCACGCATTTCTCACGGAACAGACCCCATAGGCAGCAAGGCCCACATACACTCTATGTCCGCCTGTGTGCGCTCGCCTGTGTGCGCTCACCTGTTTAGCTGGGGTGGCAGATGCTGCAGCTACCCCAGCAACAACGCCCTCCCTGTCGGCAGAAACTGCATCCTGTGATTTAGTCTAAAGGTGGGGAAAAAAGATGAACAGAACTAAATATCTATGAATGACTATTTTCAAGATCATGCATTGTAAGTATCACTACTGAGCCAGTTCACTATAATGGACATCTTGCAGAGGAAGGGGTACTAGCTCCTACTGCACAAGATACAACCCTGGGCAGCGCATGAGGCTGGACTCCAGAGCTGACAGAGTCCGTGCAGGTGCACAGAGAGTCGAGTGGGCCAGGTAGGGACCGCGATGAACTGGACTACATATACCAGGTATAAAGCTCTAGTCAATTGTTGCCATAGCACCTGCTTTTTCCAGAGAAGCCAGAAATTTGGATTTTATATGAAACATTATGACTTTAATTGTTTGCAGCTCATTAAAAATAATTTCAATAATACTGTAAGCCAAACAAAACAGATTTGAACAAAACACATAAATGACTGCATACAACTGGTGGGCCAGAAACATGTAACCTCTTCTTTCAAGTCCATTGTTAAGCAGGCCTACTTGACGTCTTCCAAGAGCTCTTGATGGAAGAGTTCTTCTCGTAAATGTTTATTCTTCTAATAGTTGACCTCCATTACCTGTGCAAATATGGAATCTATTTCTGGCTCTATAAATTCATCTCTCCTACAACAAAATTCTCAACACCTCTTTCAGACTGCCATGTAAAGAGCAGATCATACAGATCATGTGTGGTCCTACAGCCCTGAGGAGAGGGGTCCAGGAGGCAAGCTCTATCCCAAGCTTCCTGCCTATGAGACACCAGAGCCTGTTGCCTTGGCAGTCACAACTGGGCATTGCTGGGCAGTAGAGGCTGGACCGAAAGTCCCCACAACCCATCTGATGTACTTCTTGAACTTTTCATAGGGCCGAGTTTCCAAAAGCCTATTTGCAAAACCAGCAAAATGATAGCCCCAAATCATTACAATACAGAATACATTCAGCATAGCTCCACAGATTCGGCGACACATGTCCATGTAGATGGAGGACCTGTATCTTACTCCCTATTTGATGGTAGGGTTTTATCAATCTGACTTATTTACCTTTGGTTTTGTTGATTTCTCTGACGTCAGCTGCTCACTTGATCTGGACGCTGCTTTTTCCTTATGAACATGCTTGCTTTCTGTATCTGATGCATGCTTGGATAGGCTCTTTGGCTGAAACACACACACACACACACCACACCGTTTACAAGATGACAAACAGCAATGCTTTTCTCTGTGTGATGCCAAGCGTTCCTAACAGTTGTGTTCTATGTAGTTTTGAATTGTACTAATCTCAATTCCTGCGACATCAATGTGATTACTTTGAGGTACAAGATTTGAAATACATATCCCTCCTTCCATTAGTAAACTGCAAATCCTACTATTGCCACATGGTGGTGCCATTATAGCCAGAAAAACAAACACATAGGACAGTTCAGAATTCTATCCCTCACACACACAAAAAGGCTTCACCCGTTATCAAGTCCTAATGATGAGCATTTACCTCTTTGTGTTCCTTTGGCTTTACTTCTTGGGTTTTTTTCTCATGAACCACAGATGGCTGTCAATTTCAAAAGATAAAATCTCAATCACATTGGAGACCTTTATTTTTTTCCAAATAGGCTCAAGAACAAAAATCCCAATGAGACCCTTTTGCCTCTCTTGGGAAAGGCCCACTTAGAGAAATACACATGTGCTACCTGTCAAGAGTTACCCTCCCAACAGACTGATAATGACAACAATAAGAGTAATGAAAAATTCAGTATTTCATTTAGAAAGATTTTTCAACTAGATATGTATCTCTAACTTACTGGCTGTGTTTTACAATTCATACAGATCATTTGGTAACTGCAGTTCTAATCACAGAGATGTCACATGAGCACTGTGACCTCTGAATCTGTTGATAGGGAATCCCACTCTAGAAGTTCTTTTAAAAATCTCCCTTCATAGGAGACGAACACTGTAATTTAATGATTTACAGTCTTTTCGGTATTACAACTAGAGAAGAAGGTAACACCAGAAACCCAATTCTCTTGAGTTTGGGCAAACAGTCAAAACATTTCAGTATGGAGTAGTGGACAATTTCCAGCTTGCTGGTAAGTTCCTCCTCTACAGTGGAGCTATGGAATTATCCTGAGGGGATGGGAACCCAGAGGTCCTACATAAAATCAGGTAAGCCTTACCTTCTACCCAGATGACCTCACCTTTGCCTCCATTTCAAGTACATCTCTGTGCTTTCCCACAGGAAACCTTCGCTCTTATCTGAGTGCTTAAGCATGGTCGCTTAAAAGAAGTAATGTGTAGCATCTTACGAAGGAGAAACATTTGCCCTGACTGCAGACACCCTGGGGTCCATCTCCACATGGATACAGACTGGCTGTCAATCTAGATGGCCATGAGTCTGGAAGCCATTCCCAGGGGAAAGTAAGAGCTGTCTCCTGAGAACCTGAGAACCAGTTCCACAAGCTGAGATAAGACTATTAAGATAAATCTGCGGGCCTCTTGGGAAAGACTCATCTGTAAGTCACCTAGGTGCTGAGTGCTGAGTTCAGAAGACACGTGTACTCTGGACGTCCCATCTTTTAAAGTAATTGGACGCTCATTGCCCCTTGTCCTTTCTCCTTTGTTCCTGCTGTTTGTTAACAGTTACTTCACCTCTAACAAAAATGTAGATTTGAACAAAATGCCTTCCGAAACATACTGTTCTCAGGTATAAAATACATTCATTTTTACAATATATGTATTTATTATAACTAATCACTTATGCTCTGTATAATCTTGTTTAAAAAGGTAATCCAAAATCAATTAAATTAGCTGACAAAAATTCCTTTTCCCATTCAGTAGCACCAACAGAAGGAATTGGCTATTCATCATTATTACTAAGAATCCAAGTAACTCACTAGCTGACTTAAATCACTTACCTTAGTTGACTGTGACTTCTTCTCAGGTTCTGTTTTTGCAGCCTAAACTCAGAAAAATACAGAAAGGGGAGAGGGAAGGAATTAAGGAAGAAAGGAAAAATAGACATAGTTTACAAGGTTTAACATAGATTTTCTTCAACTAAGAAAGCTCAGAGGAGAGGACTCTGATGTAAATATACACTTTATGAGTTAAGTTTACTATACTTTGCTTGGCATTTTAACTCTTTAGTAAACATTTAAGCACTCGGATATTCTACTCTTACCTTCAGACAGCAGTTTACATCTTACTTTTGTTATGTGTATCAAAGATACTTAAACATTACTATGAACATTGTAGCTAATATATAAGCAAAATGAAATACACATCCTCATCCTTCAAAGGCAATGCCCTATCTCTGAGTGAAATACCATGGGTTTTTGGCTGCCAGTGTGAAACAATGGGATGGTGACAGAGCTGTAGAAAGCAGTGACATTTAGTTTTAGTGCCAGAGTATCAGCGATGGGTCACTAAGGCCCACCAGAAAGTCTGTGATGGGTGAGAGAGTTACGGAAGATCTGGAACTGCCATTATTAGTGTGTGCTGAGCAGCTGAAGTGGCCATTAGCAAACAGAAACATCCCCTAGTATGATGAACCACATCACCTGTTTTTTGTGTCTTTTCTTGTTAGGAGAATGCTGTCGTTCCGTCTGTTTGCTGATTGGAATAGCCTAATACAAAAAGCACAGCCCCAAGTGTGATTTTATTTTATCTGACAATCAAATAGGTAACCTGTATCATAGGGCTAAACGTTTCTATCAAATACCCCTCCGCTCAGCTACTGCATCTACTCCATGCATATGTACTATATAACTCCAAGAAGTTGCAGACACTAAAATTCTAAAGCCTCCAGCAAATATTCCAGTTTGGATTTACTTTTTTTCAGTGGTAAGAATCTGCAAGATTGCCATTAGGAAAACTAACTTCTGACCCCTTTCCTTCACCTTCACTGTGTATAGGCTGCTTGGGCCATTCTTTCCACCTTTATTTCTAACATCTGGTTACAAGCAAATCAACAGTCACAAGTGGTGTCAAAAGTTTTCTGAAATTTTACAATTCTGTAAATAGTGCACAGATTTTTATTGCACAATATAATCTAAATTTCCAGGAATGCTTCAGAAGAGCTGGTTGTGTCCCGTGGTCCATAGTCTCTCACGGTTTGTCTCCCTCTCTGATTTTTCCCCCTTCAGATTTCCCTCCCTTCCCCTATGGTCCTCGGTGCTATTGCTTACGATGAGCACTGGGTGTTATACGTAACTAATGAATCATTGAACGCTACATCAAAAACTAATGATGTATTACACAGTGGCTAACTGATCATAATAAAAAAATGGACAAAGAAAAGAAGAAGAGCTGGTTGTGGGGCACCACTGACTCTTGATTTAAGCTCAGGTCATGATCTCAGGGTCCTGGGATCCAGCCCCACGTCAGGCTCTGCACTGAGCATGGAGCCTGCTTGAGGCTTGTACTTGCTATCAGAAAAAAAAAAAAAGAGAGAGACAGAGAGAGCTGGTTGTGACTTAAGCCCTCTACTGGAGTATTTTACACAGTTTTACCCAACCAAAGGTCATCTGTATCAAAAATACAATTCCTTAAGTACATACATGAATTCTCGGTACAGGCAAGATATGAAAACCGGATTAAACATTTCTGAACTTTTCAAAGTAAAAATTAAAGTATTAATTAAAAATTAGGCCTAATACTTCCCACCATTTCTTTCCCTTTTATCTACTTGCTGGTAATAACATAAACTCTTATTTTTTATTCTATTATCTAAGAAGCCAACACCAAATAGCCTCTTAATTTATCATGTCATGTGCTTCAGCCATGAAGATACATACGTTCCTCCCATAATGGACCCTCGTTATACCAACATGTGCATTAAGTTCATAATCACAGAGATCTTTTCAAAGAAATTTTAAGTTTTGGATCCTTCCAAACTGGATCTTTGTTAATTAGTTTCTGTAACTGCTACTATGCTTTTCTGAGTTTATGCAAATGCAATTTATTAAATGATTAAGAAGGAAAATAAGCCAGCTGATATTGTAGTGGTTTGGATCTATTAATAGCTTCTACTCTGTAATTTAGTAATCAAGATTTTGCATGGAAGAACTCTAGAAAACAATTAAGAATTCACGTTCACACATGCAAGCAGCTTATAATGGCATATTTTTTATTAGTACTCGATAATACATTACCTAAATTTATTTTTACTGAAGGTGGTGGGGCTTAACATAATAGCGATGACAATCAATGCTTATTGATTACCTCTTAGTAACAGGGGCTGTTCTAAACTTCACATGTGCCAACTCACTCGTTCCTCACGAGAATTCTGAGACAGGTATCATCATCATCATCATCATCACCATCATCATCATCATCATCATCCCCACTTTGTGGATGAGAAAATGAGCCACACAGAAGTTAAATAATTCCCCAAGGACACCCAGGGTGGAGCTGGGGTTTTGTGTGCTCAATCACTGCACTTCATTGCATTGTCTCTCCAGCACTTAGTCAGCTCCTACTGGGCACCTGCTGGGGGATGGGCCCTATCTAATACCCTTACGTGTTTGTTTTCTTACACAGCCTTGTGAAACAGGTACTATTATCCAAACTGTACAAATAAGGAAATGAAAGCAAAGAGGAGTTTCCAAACACCATGGCTGGTAGAAAAGGAGATTCACAGCAGGCCATCTGGCTGCATGGTTCCCACTATGTAGTCTTGCAGTGGTCACACCCTGAGTAGAAATGATCTGACCTTCCATCGGAAGCACAGCAGTGTGACCACCAATTCTAATGTGCCAGGGCAAGAGAGACAGAACTTAGATCTAGACATATCACCCCCCTTCAGAGGTAGGTAGACTTTTATTTGAAAGATGCAGAACAAGACAAGGATTTGGTATAGGTATTATCTTGAATTAATATCTTTTTTCTAAAAGCTCAAACTATTTGAAGAAATATGCTCAAGTTCACAAAAATCTTCAAGGGAAGCCTAGTATAAATGTTATGACCCATACATCAGAAGCACATGAATCTAATTAATGAGAACAGTACGACTGAAATCGACCCAGAAAAGACAGCTGACGCCAAAAGTGGTCTGGAGGCAGCCATTGGTGATATTTCGTCATCAAGACACTTAGTTTTGTCCCTCCCTCTTTTCTCCCACTTTCTTCTCTCTCTTCTCCCATCCTCCAGTTCTGTAGGACTGCCAGGAATTCTCATGATTAATGCTTAGCAATAGTTGAAGGGTTTGTTGACGCTTGCTTTGGAAAACAGGACACCCTTGAAATAATAAGCACTGGTCCTTGAGCAGAGTCGGGGCAAAGGATTAGAGTCAGGCAATGGGTAAAATGAGAACCACAATAATAAAGAGGAAATCCTAGATGTGTGGCTCTCCTTTCGTACTTTTCATGGACTCTGAATTCAATGATAATGGCTGATGCTTCTCCTACTGTCTTAGGGTTATTTTAAGACTGAGATCAGATTTTTTTTTTTTTTTTTTTACTATTTTAAGATTAAACTTGGTCTAAGTAAGTAGGGACAACTAAGAGATGAATTAAGGATCAGGTCATGTATATTTTGAAAACAAAAAATTCATGTAAAATATTAAATAACAATTTTAGATTGGGGCGCCTGGGTAGCTCAGATGGTTAAGCGTCTGCCTTTGGCTCAGGTCATGATCCCAGGGTCTTGGGATCGAGTCCCGCATTGGGCTCCCTGCTCCTTGGGAGCCTGCTTCTCCCTCTGCTTCTCTGTCTCTCTCTCTCTCTCTCTCCCTCTGTCTCACATGAATAAATAAATAAAAATCTTAAAAAAAAAAAACTTTTAAATCAAAATGAATGCTAAATGACGTTTATAAGAGATTTGAACAGCGTATTTCAAGATATCTGCCATGTCCTTCAAAAACAGTTCAACATGAGACCACAGGATCTCTCAACAGCACGAAATTACAGTGCCAGTACTAAATTACGGCATAGGATCCTACCGGGACAGCAGAGCAATATGCAAGACAGAAAACAAATCATGTCAGTGATTTTAAACAAGGGCAACTTAATAACAGAGCTGGGTTAGCTCTTAAAAACACCCAGGAATACTGGCTCATAAAAATTAGTTGAGAGCATCTTGATAATATCCCTGCTTTAATTCTCTACCCCAGAATAGTCCCGAGAAACAGCTTGAGACATGGTAAGGACAGGGGAGGCAGCTTCTGGCAACTCTTCAGAACTAGGGTTTACTCTATGCGGTCACAACATTGGACAATATTCTTTAATTTTTTCTCCTCAGATTCCAAGAAATAATTATTAGAATAAATCCCAAATAGAGCTCAAAGGTTTATCAATAAGATGTTCCCCTGTAGGACTAAAATTTCACAAAGAAACTTAAAATATCCAAAATAACAGTATCTGTGTGTCGTCACTTAGTGTAAACTTAGTGTAAACTTTCTCTTTCTTACATTTAGTTTTAAGTGGCCAGAATAATAAAACCATTTTAATAAGAAGTTAAGAATTCATATTCTTCACTAGATCCACAGAAATGCACCTAGATCATCTTATAATTTAAAAACTCCATCAAGTCTAGGACCAAAAAAAATCTCTGGATGACTACTCTTTTCTAGATATTCTGAAACAATGTAGAAGTGTACACCGGATATTTGAGGCAAATATTAAAAGCAAAGGTAGATTTCCAAAGACCCTTCTAAATTAGGAAGAAGATGTTTCCTTCCATAACTTAAGCTTCTTAGGACACACAAATCATTTGTCCGTTAGTCTACATTTGTTCTGCTTTACAAAACAATCACTTAGAGGCATTCACCCAAGTACACCCATGGAGACCCTTCATACCTTGGCTTCCGTGGGATTCATACTGGAAGACTTGCTGGTGGAAGCAGAAGAAGCTGATGCCTAGAAAGTAAAGAAAGAGAAAGTCTGATTCTGGTTAACCTACAAATACTTTGTCTTTCGGCTCCTCTTAACCATACTTGTTCTTAACTCTACCTTGGTTTACCTCTTCTAGAGGACAACTCCCACGAAAGTCCAGTAGGTGATATTGCCCAGTGGGCAAAAGCCTTTATAAACAGATCAAATGGGTTCAAATTTTGAGTGTACTACTTATTAAACAATCTTGGGCCATTTTCTGATCTTTCGTTTCCCCTTTCTCAATTTTTCTTTAGTAGATAACCATCTTGTAAGTTTCTTACTACCTGGTGCGTAAGCGCTCAGTATTTTAATTATTGTCAGTATTACTTTCCAAAGAACACAGTATTACTTTCCAAATTGACAGAATTTTGTTCAAATGCAAGCCCCGCCAATTACTAGCTCTGTGACTTTCAGCCTTAGTTTCCCAGCTATATAAAATGAGGCCAACAACATCTCTTTTGCAGGATTTTAAGTATTTGAGATAATAAAATGTCTGGCATATTGTAGGTGCTTATTAAATTACTAATGCATTATTCCTAAGACATTATACAAGACAGAAGGAGCAGGATGTAGTGCTGGAAAACACTCAGGAGGATCAGAATTGTCCTTTCAGTGTCACATAAGGAAGAGAAGGTGGGAGTGGGGTTACGAAGGGGATACTGCTATACTATTTATCTCACCCAGGAGGGCAAGAGATGATGAATGTTAATTGAAGTTTCAAGATACACCATTCCTAGGGATGCAAGGGAGCGGTGGAATTAGTCCTTGCAATCTAATCACCCAAGCAGTGGGATGTGCACAGGCATACTTGCACGGTACTGACTACTGTCCTAGTACGTAACCTTCATTAGCCTGGTTGATAACAAATCAATCACTACCTTTGGGTCCAACCTAGGCTCACTTAAACCTCCTTAATATTCGAGTCTGTTGGGTTTTAGAGCTTAGGGATTCCATCTGGCATAAGGTGCCTTCTTAAGTAACCGGCTGTCAGTCAACAGCTGCTGCCCTGCCAGTAATACCCAGAGTCTGTCTCTGATGTCTGGCCCTGAGCCATTTCAGAGGCCAAGTCCCAGGACAGGAAGAGCCCATCCAGGCTGGTCCTCTAGCTCCACACCCCCCACACTACCACTCAAGGTTATTGTATGAACCTACTATAACTCATGGCCCAGGAACAAAATCACCTTCCCCACAGACCTACTTAATGTAGAACATTTTGGTGCTATTAGTAAATTACCACAATTTACAGATAAAAAGCCCAAAGTTTTAGCATATTGATTTTAAATATTTCTTTTTTTTTTTTTAAAGATTTTATTTATTTATTTGAGAGAGAGAGAATGAGAGAGAGCACGAGAGGGAAGAGGGTCAGAGGGAGAAGCAGACTCCCCGCTGAGCAGGGAGCCCGATGCGGGACTCGATCCCGGGACTCCAGGATCATGACCTGAGCTGAAGGCAGTCGCTTAACCAACTGAGCCACCCAGGCGCCCTGATTTTAAATATTTCAAATAAAGATTTTATTTATTTATTAGAGAGAGACAGAGAGAGACAGAGATAGCGACAGAGACAGCGAGAGAGAGCATGAGCAGGGAGGAGATGGAGAAGCAGGCTCCCACAGAGCAGGGAACCCGATGTGCGGCTCCAACCCAGGACCCTGGGATCATGACCTGAGCCGAAGGTAGACACCCAACCGACTGAGCCACCCAGGTGCCCCAGTATATTGATATTTCAAACAAACCATATGAACTTTATTCCTGAGCACCCTCAGGCACCAATTGGGCAACCCCTCACTCCAAAATATACCAAACCCGGTCACTGCAGCAGGCATGGTGCTCTCTCCCATTCTCTTTGGGACAAAGAGCGAGAAGATGGACCAAGGTAGATTCTCCCATCAAATTAATGGACAAATAGATGGATATTCCTTTTTCCTTGAGATTTTTTTAATTTGTGAGAATTAATGTACCCATTTGCCACAGCCCATTCCTTCAATGATTTCCCTCAAACATACAAAACCAAAGACCAAACACTCTACATAAAAGTGCTTTTTAGGGGCTCTTGGATGGCTCAGTTGGTTATGTGTCTGACTCTTGGTTTTGGCTCGGGTCATGATCTCAGGGTCATGATTTCATGGGTCATGGGATCAGGCCCCCCGTCAGGCTCTGAGCTCAGCAGGGAGTCTGCTTGAGATTCTCTCCCTCTGCCCCTCCCCCCTTTCTAAAATAAATAAATCTTTTCTTAAAAGTGCATTTAAGCTGCAAATCTTTAGGTAAACATTATTTCTAAACCTCTATGTTTATTAAAACATTCCTGAAGTCTTATACTTCGAGTTTCCAATCTGCCTTACTACTTTATTAAGCAATAGCTGGATGTGATCCTCAAATCCTATAAACTTTCCAAGTCCCGCCACCTGAGAACACTAAAATCTACATGGATAGCCATCAATAAGCATGGAGAGGTAATTATAGGTATTTAGCTGAAGGCCCTGGCCACACCTGTTCTCAGCATAGATTCCCTCCATGGAAGTTCTACCCCATCACAAAGCCAACTAAATATTGTGAAACTGAAATAGGAAAGCTACTTCATGGGATCTGAAAATAAGGAAAATAATCCCACCCTATTGTGACCCCATTCAATTCCCACTGAACTGTGATTTGTTCTATTTTATTCTATTTATAAAGACAATGAACTTTTCATATTTGTTATCTCTGGTGAAGGACTGAATACATTTTCAATCTTCTGCATACTATTTGAATATCTAATCATGGGTGTGAATAACTGATAGTTAAAATTTTCTGAAGAGTTTATCCACAAAGCTTTGAATTGAAGAACTTTAAAGATAAACCTTTCAGAGGTTTTTAAACATTTGGAGAAAGCGCTATCTCATGGAGGTTAAGTGCCCTGTCAAATTTTCCACAGTTCACTGGCTCCACAAGTAGTTACTTACCCAGCACACAGTTTGTGCCAGGTACTATGTCAGGTGACAGGAACACAGTGGAGAAATTGCTAGACATGTTCCTGCCATTGTGGAACTTTCAGCCTCACCATTAATAGAATAATCACTGCAGTAGTTACTTGTGGTAAGCGCTATAAAGGAAAATCACAGACTCCCATGCAGAGACCTGGCAACCAGAGTTAGTTCATGACACAGTCGGGACAGGTGATGCTGAGGAAGTGACGTGGAGATTAAAGGATGAGGGGGCATCACCCAGGCAAAGGCTGCGGATGAGGGGGAGGGGGTGCTCTGAGCTGTATGTGCCCGGACTGGGACCTAGGCCACCTGACTTCTATGGCAGTGACTCTTCTGCTGCAGGATCTACCACATGGCCAGTCCGGTTAACATCGAGGGG